CTTGTTCTCAGGTTCAAGGCCCTATAAAAGCAACGAGCTAAGCATATGTGTGTGTGATGTTCACTTCAGTGTAGTGGATGGAGGTGACAGCAAGAGAGTACCAGGAAAGACTCTTATCCGTTTAGCACGGATCCTATCTCCCTTGCTCACTCATTTTCCTCACACATTACAATCACACGCTTCTGTTCCTCATACAGTCCGATTCCATTCCTTACACAGTCACTTCTTTTCCACAGTCCCACAACACGCACACTGTTCAGTCTTTTGTGTTGATGTGCACATTGCTCGAGTGCATCCCTTGCCCACTCACCTCCCTCTCACACCTTGGACCCTGGAACAGCTCTTTGTGTACTTCCATTTTGCACAAGCCTCTACCTCCCTGATACACCTGCGTCCTTTGACCATTCACCTTCCATCAGCACCCGTTCACCCTCCCACGCCCATACAAACACCTATTCTCCTACCCGTGTGTGTGCACACTCCCCTTCCTTGGCCACTCCCCTTCCTCCACCCTCCGCGGGCTCGCACACTTGCCCCCGCCCCTGGGGACACCTGCTCGTGCGGGGCAGGGCGGGGATGCGCAGCCGCGGCCCCTTCTCCTTTCCCCTTCCCCGCCCCGCCCCTCCCTCCATCCCTCACCGGCTCCCCGGCTCCCGCCCCGCCCGCCCGCCGCTCCGGGGGGGTCTCCGCCGCCGCCGCCGCCGGAAGGAGCCGCCATTTGCCACCGCCGAGCGCACGGGCCGAGCCAAGCCGGATCCCGGAGCCGGAGCGGGACTGGGACCGGGAGGACGGCGATGGGGGGCGTCCCCGCCGCAGGAGGACCCGGGCTCGTAACCCCCCGGGCCCGGCCCGCTCCGGACCCGGACCCGCGGGGCGCGGCACCCTGAGCCCCCCTCCCCGCCCCCTGCCCTGGCCATGGCTGCCCACCCCGCTGCCCCCGGGCCGCCAGCCCTCTCGGCCCCGCGAGCCCCGGAGCCCCGGCGGTGGCAGCAGTGAAAGGCGGTCGCAGGCCCCGAAGACCCCGGCCTGGCTAGGCTCTCGGGCGCGCGCCCCCTTCCCGGCCTTGTCCTCTCCCCTCCCCCCGCCGCCCGAGAGCCCCCCTTGCACGCCGCCCCCCGCCCCCCGGCGCCCGGACGATGCTCAAGTCTCGGCTCCGCATGTTCCTGAACGAGCTGAAGCTGCTGGTGCTGACGGGCGGGGGGCGGCCCCGGGCCGAGCCGCAGCCCCGGGGGGGCGGGGGAGGCGGCTGCGGCTGGGCGCCCTTCGCCGGCTGCTCCACCCGGGACGGCGACGGCGACGAGGAGGAGTACTACGGGTCGGAGCCGCGGGCCCGGGGCCTGGCCGGCGACAAGGAGCCGCGGGCCGGACCCCTGCCGCCTCCCGCGCCGCCGCTGCCGCCCCCGGGCGCGCTGGACGCCCTGTCGCTCAGCAGCAGCTTGGACAGCGGGCTCCGAACCCCCCAGTGCCGGATCTGCTTCCAGGGACCGGAGCAGGTCAGGCCTGGGCAGCTGGCCGGGCGGGGAGGGTTGGGGGCGCACACCTGGGGTGTCCGGGGAGACCCGAACAGGGGGCGGGGCCTAAGGAGGCTGGGCGGGACGCAGGACCCAGAGTGGGAATGGGGTGAGGTTGAGGGGCTGGCTGGAGACTCCCGACGCGTGTATTCGTGTTGGGGAGTCAGAGTTCCCCGGGAAGGTGTGGGGCTTTCTCCTGGGAGGGCTCAAAATTCCTCTCATCCATTAACAGGGACAGCTGTTTTCTCCTGTTTCTCTTACCCCAGGGTCGCCATAGGCTGAGGGGCCCTGTTCTCTTGGAGGTGGGCAGAAAGGAGCATGCTTCTGTTCCCATCTTGGAGGGAGGGGCCCAGCGGCACCCTTGCCTCACTCAGTATGTCTCCCTGTGGGGCACTTTTCTTCACTTCCCATTCTGCAACTTTCTATCTCGTTCCAAAGAGCATTCTTTGTTAAAATTTTATGGGCAAAGTTGTCCCGGAATAGTGCCAAGGGTGTCTCTGTAGTGAGAAATGATTCCTTGGTTCAAGGGAAACATCCTCCACTCCCACCCCCAGGATTTCTCCCCTTTTTAGTCTCTGGAACCCGTGGACGTTAACCCATCCCAGTCTGCACCAGATCTATGTAATAACTTTACAATGATGGGGAGGGGAAGGAAGGCATGACTCAGAAGCTCTGACCCCCCCTCCCTCAGATCCTAAGGGAAAGCTTTTCCTCAGAGAAGCCTTAAAGACCACCCTTCCCAAATTCTTGTAAAGGAGAAGACCAGTCCTCTCCCATCCCACCCCCCATCCCTTTCCATCCCTCATCTCTTTACTATGGGACGTCCCCTTTGATCTCTAACTTCTTTCTTTTTTGCTGCAGCCTTAGCCTCTTGCCCTGTTTGTGGTGAAAGGCCTGAGTTTTTTAATTTGGGAGAATGACCTGAAGAGCAGGTTTTCCTCCCAAGGAGCGCGGCAGAGTGGGGTCAGGGCGGTGATGGCTGACAGGGCCCCTCCCCACTCTTCCTCCAGGGGGAGCTCTTGAGCCCCTGCCGCTGCGACGGCTCAGTGCGCTGCACACACCAGCCCTGCCTCATCCGCTGGATCAGTGAGAGGGGCTCCTGGAGCTGTGAACTCTGCTACTTCAAGTACCAGGTCCTAGCGATCAGCACCAAGAACCCACTGCAGGTGAGGTGCAAGGCCAAGACTCGGAGACTGGGCGAGGGCCTTTCAGCTGTCGGAATCAGAGACCCTCCACAAAGCCTATTTCATCTCATTTATTTTCTCGCAAAGCTACCTCTCCCCACTATTATCACAATCTCCTGTGTGTCTATAAATCTTTCCATCGTTCATTTATTCACAGAGACATTTATTGGGTGTCACTTGTGTTCAGATACTGTTCTAGGCACTGGGACAACCATAAAGGAAAAGATTATAATGTTGACGATTATGATGATGATAATAGCAAACGTAGTGTTTTCTGTGTGTCAAGTTTTGGCATGTATTATCTGTTTTAATCTTCATAATAATTCTATTAGTTAGATACCATCATTATGTATATGATGGTATATATGAGGACACTGATGCACAAAGAGATTAAAAAACTTGCTCAAGGTTACTCAGCCAGTAAGTCATGAAGTTAAGATTTGGAATTCAAACCAAGATGTTCTGGCTTCAGAGCACTTGCCCGATCCTGCCTTTCTAAAATAAGAGACACAAATGATATCGGGCAAGTGCCATATTCTAGGTTTAATCAGAGCACAGAGACGACAGATGTTAATCCTGCCTGAAGGGTTTAAGGAAGGGTCTGGAGCATCTTCGAGTCACCCTTCACCTGGCCCTCCATCCCCTTCTGTGACTTTTTGGAGCCCTTTCTTTTACACAGTGGCAGGCCATCTCCCTGACGGTCATCGAGAAGGTCCAGATTGCTGCCATAGTCCTGGGCTCACTCTTCCTCGTTGCCAGCATCTCCTGGCTCATCTGGTCCTCACTCAGTCCTTCAGCCAAGTGGCAGCGGCAGGATCTGCTCTTTCAGATCTGCTACGGCATGTATGGCTTCATGGATGTCGTCTGCATAGGTGAGGGCACCTCTTTCCTTTACCTGCTTAGCACCTTCCTCTTACCCACTTCCCTGCCTGTCCCCTAGTTTCATGACCTGATTTCCTGCCATTGGGGGATGTTAGGGCTATCGTGGTGCCCTTCCCTTCCCTGCTTCTCCAGGGTCCTTTGTAACTGTATCTCCTCACTCTGAAGAAATGCTTACTTAAGTACCTCCAGCCTAGGTCTGGGTAGCAGTTGATCCTGGATTTCTTATCCCTGTTGCTCAGGCCTCATCGTCCACGAAGGCTCCTCTGTCTATCGCATCTTCAAGCGCTGGCAGGCAGTGAACCAGCAGTGGAAGGTCCTGAATTATGACAAGACCAAGGACATCGGAGGAGATGCAGGGGGAGGGACGGCAGGGAAGCCGGGCCCTAGGACCTCACGGACGGGCCCCCCCTCTGGGGCCACCAGCCGCCCCCCAGCTGCCCAGCGCATGCGGACGCTCTTGCCTCAGCGCTGTGGTTACACAATCTTGCACCTCCTTGGACAGCTGCGGCCACCAGATGCCCGCTCCAGCTCCCATTCTGGCCGAGAGGTTGTTATGAGGGTCACCACAGTCTGAACTTGGACTCCAGGAGCAGGGATCTTGAGTCAATGCATCAGCTAGAGATAAGCTCTCATGGCTGCTGGAGGTACCACCTGGACAAGGTGTTTGGGGCATACTGCCTCCACCACTGAGGATCTCTGTGGGCAGCTTCAGGCTGGAGACATGTCTGGCCTCCACTGCCCACTGGGTAGAGACACCTGGATGACATTCCAGCCCCCACTGACAGCTCCTCACACTCATCCTGAGACGGCCAGTGGGCAGGCGAGGAGAGCAACTTTTCTTCCCTGGAGAGAACCGCCTTTACCTCAGCTCCTAGGGCCTCCAGCCCACCAGCTCCACCACGGTGACTTGGTGAAGGGGGACCAGTGCCAGAAGAAAGGGGCTGTAGACCCCATTCCCCACCCCATGGCCACAGGGCATCTGGCAATAAGACTAGTATACATTGACCTCCCGTTCCCTGCATGAGGGCGGGGGACTTCCCCCTGCTCCACCCCCCCATTGCATGGGGGAAGGGCATAAAGAATCATTTATATGCACGTGGAGACTCCTTTCTCATCTGGGGTTTTTCTGGAGGGTTGGGAGGTATGGAGAGGTTTCTCTGCACAGGTTGTAAATCCCAAATGCAGCAGTGGGTTCTGAGTTGTAGGTGTGACTCCCACTTGCTGGTGAATAATTCACATTGGCTGCTAGGTGGCAGTGCTCAGAGGTAGCTAAGGGGTGGGCCTGCCACCTGCAAGCTGTGATTTAGAAAAAAATCTCTCAGCTGTGGTTTTCCTGTCTACCTCATAGGATTAGAACGAGGATAAATGGGGGACAGGTTGGATGCCATTGCAAAGAAAATCAGTAATGGCACAAAAAGATTTCTAGACTAGTTGATGGTCCATTTATTTCATATAGTAGTTGGTATAACAAATTCCAAAACGTGTTTTTCATCTGGAGTTCCAAAGAATCTTGGAATTTTGTGTTGAGTGACATAACAGATATGAAAATATGAGGGGAAATGGACATTGCAAATGTGAAGGATGATAGTTATTTGTAAGAATGAGAACTCCTCTGACTCTCTAAATATTGGGGCCTGGGGCTTGGAGAGGCTGGAGCCATCTGTCTTGTTCTAGATATCATCTGAGTTCTGTTAGTTCACCCCAGGTACTGTGCTTACCCAGAAAAATGTGAAGTGAATTTGGACTCATTTGGAGTGAGACAGAGGGAATTCCCCAGTGTGGTGAGTCTCCAATGCCAGTTTAAGCTATGCCTGTGGCAGTTTAGGGTCACAGGTCTGACCCTGGTGTGCCTAGCTCGTGGTGTTAATGGAAGGTATTGTGCTTAGAGGCAGCAGCATATAGGGGACTGTTTACAGAGAAGAGATTTGGGAAGGACTATTTAAAATGTGGGTCAGCCTGAAGCCTGGTCCCTTTCTCCTGAGACCTTGGGACTGTGTATTACATGAATGATGGTGTCTTTTAAGTGAACTATTCATCAGCAATTAAAATAATTCCTTCATACACTGCTAAAGTCAGATGTAGAGGACTTTCTTATTATTGGCCCTTCTCTCAGGAAAGGTTCTGCTCTGCCTCCTCCCTGAGGATATTTTGGAGAAAATACTTCTCTTCTAAAGGCCCACATATCCTTGTCAGGAAAACTTGATTCCTTTCTCTCCCAAGTGGTATTGGCCGCTGTCCATGGTGCTGGCACCCAAACATGCCTGGGGGTGTAGGAACCAAAGCTGGACTGGGGTCCGAGTGTGAAAACATATCACTTCCAACTTCTGAGGGGATCAGAGTGGACAGGGGACTGTGGCTGAGCCCTCCACCTTCCCAGTGGTGATCTGTTTTCCCAGAGATAAGACTCTCCACTCTCCACTTGGGGAGACAGAAGGGCCAGATTTTATTGATTTGCCATTCACAAAAGAGTTGGTGGGGACCAAATGGGAAGCAGCAAATCAGAATGACTACTAATACCTATACTGGCAGATAGGGCTCAGGTACATAGGACATATATGGGGCTTCCTGTGCAAAGCCTGGGCTGTCCCCGTGGTGGCTCTGCATGGAAGGTTTGACATATTCAAGAACATAGACACGCACACAAACACAATCTCTATTTCCACTCTGGATCCTAAAACCAGGCCAAGTGAGACAGTGCTTTCCCCTCTCCTTTTGCACCAATGGAGGTCTTGGTATAGGGGTTCGGGCCAGCAATCAGTATGATCTCTTCTTCCATTTTTCTGAAGAGATCCTTGTCCAGGAAAGGGGTTATAAGGAACTGTTGCCATCCTGAAGTGGGCATTCCTACTTGGCCAATGGGGAATGGGGAGTGTGGGTGTGTAGAATTCTCATCACTGATTCCAGGAGAAAGGTCTGTCAGTAAGCTGGGCTTTATTCTACCTCAAAGCTCAAATATGCTAAAAAATCGGGTCATTTAGGTTCAAGTTCAGCTTAGTGATAGGAAAATATGGTTGGAGTGTACAGTAGAAAAGGATTTCAGAGGAGGAGCAGTAAATGCACAAAAATCTTGGTCTCTGCACAAGGCTTTGAGTATGCCCTACCCCTCTGTAGATCTTGCATAACTAGATCCTGCCCCACAGAAGGCTTGGTGGCTAATGGCGTTTGTGTGGTCAGGGAGCCATGTCTAGGGCAGGGGGCTGAGGTGGTGCAGGGGAGGAAGAAGTATGAAATGAAATCTCCATCTACACCCAGCTAATTGGAATGGAGCAGTGGGGGGAGGGGAGGGAAAGGGGGCAAGTCCTGACACGGGAAGGGTAATCTGGGATATAGAGGGAGCTGCACAGAGTGTGCTGAGAGATTTATTTGGATGGAAGATGAGTTAATCTGTATATATCACAAGGGGAGAACTGTGCCCAGCTTCTGGGTGGCCAGAGAGTGCTGACTCAGGGAAACAGAAGCTCCCTCTGCTCATCCCCTTTCTCCTGCCTTGGTGCCCCAGGGCTTCTGGCCACCCCCACATTCGGCTTTTATCCTGTCTGTCTTACGTCACTTCTCTGCCTGTATCCCTGTCTTTCTCTGAAGGAAGTTATCTTGGAGCAACTTTTCCAGAGAGGGCAGAGTGGCCATTCTAGGATGTCCTTTGGTTGTAGTAGTCCAGGCTCCAAAAGCACTTCTCTTACCAGTCAGCAGCCTCTGCCCATCTCTGCCAATGCCTAGGTCCTGACCCATTTTACAGCTTAGCCCCTGTAGCTAGTTTTCACCACCACCCCCTTAGTCTTTTACAGGAAGCCAGACTAGACTTGGCTGTTCCCACCCCAGACAGAATCCTGTCTGGGTTTGTGTTACAAACCACTCTTCCAGGTGTCCAGACCTCCCATTGTTATGGGAATCACCCCAAGGACCTGAGAACCAGAGGTGGGAGATGGGGGGGCAAGGACTTACCTCCAGGTCTTATAGGACTTGGGAGGGGAAGAGAAGTAAGTAAAAAGTCTAAAATGGAACATTTTATGTTTTAATTGTAAAACTTATGAATATTTAAAATTTGTAATATAAAAAAGGCAGAGGCCTGGGCAGGGACAGGCCTACAGATATATTTGCCTGGGAGCTAAGTAGTAGGGCAAACCCATTAATAGTGACCGGAGAGTTTTAAAAAATCACAAACCAGGCTAAGATGGATTCACCTTCCTAGAGGCAAGATGACGAAGGAAGTGGGGACAGTGTGGTAAGCTGCTTATCCCTTCTGCCGCATGGTCCAGATTCAACCTGAGAATGAGTATGGTGTCACCTAGTCAGAGATAGGTTTATCCCCGCTGGCAGGGGATATAAAGATCAAATAAGACCTCACCCTTTCTCTCAAAGAGCTCACATGCAAAGAGTAAGGACCACCAGGTACAGAACAGATGCACTATAGCTCAGGCTGTGACAAATGCTTACCCAGCAGCATCCATGAACAGTGTGGAAGCACCAACAGAACAGTGGTTGAATCCTTCCTCAGGCCACCCAGCAGTACTAGTTAAAATCTGGGTTGGCCCTTGAGGGAAGTGTATATGACCAGCAGGCATAGGGACCATGGTTTTCTTGGGGCCTAATGAGTCAGGCCAAGTGCATACTTCACACATTGGTCAGGGCTGCCTCAAATGCTTTGCTGTGGTGTAGGGTGATGTCAACAGCCTCCTTCCACAGGACTATCTGTCCACAAACTGTAGGTTGATGCTCCTCTCAGGTACCAGGACAGTCCGGGTCATGGGTCTGATTGGGGCAGCACCTGGCTCAGGCTGTACCTCAAAATGAGTCAAGATCTGGAAAGGGAGGAAAAAGGCTCTTACTACGGGAGGGATCTATAATGATGGGATTGATTGGTAAATAGCATTATTAATGTTAGAATGGTCAATGTTGGGGTGGCACCTGTGGCTAGTAGGGGATTTGGTAATGACGGTAAGGGATTATGGTAAGGCAAAGGATAGTCCAAACACCCTCACTTACATTTCAGGCCTCTAATGAGATTGTCATATTTCAGAGGATTTGTTCTATTACATCTTGTATATTTTCCTATGCTTGCCAGAGGACAAGCGCTCACAGCTGTGGAGGGGTAGGGAAGGTATAAGGTCTAGATCACTCACCTGGGCCAAAGCCATTTGCAGCTCAAGCTCTGCCAGGCGTCTCCCTATGCAGCTGCGCTTGCCAAAGCCAAAGGGAAGAGATGCAAATGGGTGGGGGGCTGGATCCTCCCCCAGCCAACGAGCTGGACGAAAAGAGTTTGGCTCTGGGAACTGGGCAGGGTCCCTTGAAGTGGCATAGTGACAAAGAGTGACCAGCGTCTGGTGGAGGAGGAACACAAACTTGTCAGTTTGGACCCAAGAATGTGGGGGTATGGGGCATGAAGAAGACACTACATGGACTGGGGCAAACACAGACCCTAGTTGGTGATGGGGAAGTTTTCTGGGGCTACTTTTGGAATGATTTCTCCACTGCCCCACTATATCCCAGAGAGAGGTCAAGGGGAGGGTTTGAAGGGCATTTGAGAGAACAGGGCCGGGGCCCAAGAGAGTGAGGAATGGCTCAGCGAAAGAGATGGATAGACTCTACTCACATTTTTGGGGATAATATAGTCACCCACATGAATGTCCTTGTCTGGGACACGGGAATTTCCAGGTACCACAGGGTACAGTCTAGGTTGCAAGGAACAAGATGGAGACAGCAAAGTGAGAATGAAGACTGTAGCCTCCTTTTCACTGTCTCTGACTTCCAAACCCATTTTTGGCCAGGAAGAGAGTTACCATTTTCTCTGCTCTCTCCCAGCTTCCATACACTATCTGCTTCCCCAGCATTTTCTCTAGTTCTTCCTCTCATCCCCCTTACCTAAGCACTTCCTTGACCACGGCCTTCAGCAGGGGCAGCTGGGACAGAGCGGTGGCTGGGGGGTGGGCACTGGAGCCATGGCCCAGGGCAGCCGTGATCTCGGAGTGGAGTGCTGTCTGGACTTCAGGGTGCCGGGAGAGCTCGTACAGAGCCCAGGAGAGTGTGTTGGACACCTGGGGGACAGGTGAGGACATCAGAGGTGTTGGGTGTGGGGACTCAGTATAGGGGGCAGAATATGGGGCAGTCTGGGGCCAAGGAGGTGCAAGTGGCCATAGTGGATCCCCTGCAACAGAAAAGTGGCCCCTGAGACTGGGGAGGCTAAGCTCTGGAAGTGTGGCTCAAAGCATTGAGGGAGAACCTCACCGTGTCCACCCCGGCCAGCAGCAACTCTGTCACATTCCCCAGGATGGACTGGGCAGGCAGCTCTTCTCGGAACAGGAAGTAGGTCAGGTACGCCCCAGGTCCCACGTCCTCCTCAGACTTTCCTCGGTTCCTCATGGCTACCTCGGCCTCTCGCCGCTCCACGTGCTGCTGGGCTGCGTGGGAAGAAGGCACACCGCTAATGCCTCACTATTCCCGGACGGCTTTACGGTCCCCCATTCCCACCTCGCTTCGGTGCCTTACCAAATGCGAACATCTGGTCCCAGTCTCGGCAGAGGCGGCCCCAGGGCCCGGGCACAAGGCGCTGTAGCCAGCTGGGCATCGCCATGGTCAGCAGCGTGGACACGAACACGGAGCCCACGGCGCGGATGAAGCCCTCTGTGTCCGGCGGCACTTCTGCCTCCAGGCAGCCGAGGCGCGAACCCAGCAGCACCGCGGCTATGCCTGGCCGGGAGGGGGCGCTGTCAGGGCGCCGGGAGACCCCGGCCGGCCGCCTCCTACTCCTGCCCCGAACTGTCTTCAGACTCACCCTCTAGTCCAAACTTGTAAAACTCTCCGGCCACGTCCCGAACCAGGGAGGGCGGCCCGGTGCCACGACCCCGCTGGCGCCTCAGTCGTCGCACAAGGTCACAGACCACGCTGTCCAGGGTCCCCGCATAGCCGGCGGCCGCATGAGGCCGGAGGAGGAGCGGGGCCAGAAGACTGCGGAGCCTCTGCCATTCTTCGCCTTCCCTGCGGGGGTGCGGAGAGGGGAGCATCAGAGAGGTGGGGGGTGTGGAATGGCTCGACCTGGCCGGCTGCTGTGGAGAAGGAGCTGGTTCCGCTGGGGTGGCCAGGGAAGGGACTGAGTCTGTTCCCCCCTGGGGTACAGAAACCTGCCCCTGCCTGCGCGCGTCTTCCATCCCCCTTCCTCCTTATTCATTTCCTGCCCCAGAGGGGCCTGGGTTCTCGGATTACCTGAGTCACAAAATCTTACAACCCATGCAGGTCCTGGTACCGTAGCCCATCCCGCTGGTTCCCTCAGTTCTGGACTCAAAAGATAAGGAAGTGGGCGGGGGGCGAGGGTGGGTGAAACACACTGGGATGGGAACCCCGGGATGCCAGAAGGTCGGTGGGGGAACCGGCCGACCTCCCCCGACGCTCCCTGATAGATTGTTTTGGGAGCCGTTGCAAGATAGGGCTGCTACCGAGCGTCTAGGCTTTGGGGGCAAAGAAGACTCACGCGGTGAGCAGTCCGCAAGCTCGCTGGCGGTGGCGACGGTGCTCGACCCAGGGCGAGAAGCTGCAGCGTTCTGGCCGGGGCCCCTCCTGTCGCAGCAGCTGCTCGATGAGGGCAGGAGCGGCCACGTACACCGTGCGCACCGTCCCGAAGCTGGCCAACCACACGGGCCCGAAGCGCGCAGCGCCCTGCACCTGGGAGAACCGACGCAGCGGACATTTGGAGACTCGGGCGGGGACTCTCAGGGGCGTTGGCTGGGCTTTGAAAGAGGAAGCTTCCGCTCCTTCTCGAGCGCCCAGCTCGTGTATGGCCCTGATACTGCAAACTCTTCCTCTTTCTTCCATTTCCCATCCCTAGGAAGTTTGAGTGTGATGGGCAAAACGAAGGAACATTGGGCAAAGGAGACATTTAGGACCTCTCTTTGGTCATCGGGGCCAAGCTGAAGCGGATAAATCCCCAGTGGTTCCATGCCTTGCAGTGTTCATCTCAGGACGAGCCGTCAGTGAATGAAAAAGAGCGCGTCTAAGCCCAACGTGCACGGAGGGCACAGCGAGCTTCGCGGTCCCCCCCAACCCCCCGCACACCCCGCATTTATACTGGACCTGTAGGGTCTCCAGACGTCTGCACAGCAAGAAGGCGCTTCCTGAGCGCATTACTCTGCGGGGTGTACGGATGGAATCTCGCCGGTTGAGCCACCGCCCCCAGTCCCGATTTGCCTTTTTCATAATTGTAGGCGTCCGTTCTCAGTGGCCCTCCCTCATATATTCTGCACTACGCTGTCCTTCCTGACATTGTCAAATCCGGTTTCCCCAGCTCTCAGTCATGGGAATAGCCTCCCCTCCTACCTGCAGCTCATGTAGCCTCGACAGCCCCCCTTTGCAGAAAAGTTCGGCCAGAAAGCTGGGGGTGGAGGGGCCTGGGATGTCTGCCAAGCCCCGGGGTGCTGAGTCGTAGTTTCTGTAGTCCCGAGAGGCGCCCAGCTCGGGAGCACAGCGGCCGCGATGGAACACTCTGGCAGCGAACTTGAGGGCCTGGGTCATGGTGTGGTTCAGGGGGCCCACGAAAGAGAGCGCTTCTCTGGAGCATCTTGCTTGAAGCCCTATTTAACCTTTGGGCTAGGAGGTGATGACTCCCCCTCTCCAAGCTCCTCAGCCAATCCCCTCTTTCTGAGTGGTCGGTGCTGGGGACTAGTACCCAGGAGAAGTAGGCGGGGCTGGGGCTGACTTCCAGGCTCCCTTGGGTCTCATGTTGCAATGATCCCCAAGGGAGGGGAAGCCTATCTGAGCTTTTCAGCCAGCGCTAGTGTCCTCCAGCAGTCTAAAATTCTCGTCCAGGTAAAGGCTATTGAGTACGGATTAGGTGACCAAACTACACAAATCAATCCCTGGTATTCCCATCACTTCCCCAGCCTCTTCAGGCCCATCATCAGGAATTCCCCACCCTCTTCTAGCTCCTTTGGGAAGGGAAGCAGGGAAGAGGCACAGCTGTAACTGTCCCCACATTCTTGGCTCATTGGGCAGCACCTTCTCTGCCTTATTTTCCTGCACTAGCCACATCTCCCTCCCTCCCTGTACCTAACACACACTGGGTAGATGATCGGTGGGTTAATGGGTTAAAACAGCTACAGGGGACTTCATCTTTGTTTCTTGGGGTGGACAGGGTCTCTGAGGTCCACAAGCCCCCTCCTTCCAGCCATCGGAATTTGGGGCTCGAAAAACAGAAACAAAGAAACTTTTTGCAAATTAGAAAAGTTCAGAGATTGTGTCTGGGCCATTGAATGGAGCAGTATGTTCTGAATCCTCAGCTGACTCAGTCTCTTCTGGGGGGCTTTCTGGTTAGCAGCTCCTTTCTACTTTTGGCTTCAGAATCCTCCACAGTTTAGCTCTCTGCTCCTCACTCTCCTACTCCCCACCTCCCCCAACCAGGCTCTGTGCCAGTCAATCAGCTCTGAGGTTCTGGAATTGAAGGTCAACATGAAAAAGGAGATAATCTCCACCACCACCCCCTCCTGGGGACTCTCCAGAGACAGCAACAATAAAGGCTTCCCTAGGTCAAGCTTTAGGCAGGGAGCAGATGGGAGGATGGGAGAAGGCGCATGATACACCAGGCACAACGGGCATGTGCGTATGCATACACTTTATCCTCAGGACTGCAAAGTAAACACAAGTAGACAGGTGGTTTGAGCCTAGCAGGCAGTTTAGATGGACAGTGGAGCACTGCATTCCTCACTCCAGCTGAGGAGAGATCCTATAAGAGGAAGGGAGTGCTAAGGGAGGGCAAGACCCACACCCTTCCAAAGATCCCCTCTGGTCCAAAATCCTTTGCCCTTCCCAGTCAACTTCTTTTGGTTTCTGTTGGAAGCGAAGGGACAAGGAGGTGAGAGGAGCTGGGGGTAGTTGTGAACACCAGCCTTCTTCCATAGGCAGCCCCCAACTTCTTTGAGAGATCACTGACTCTCAGCCCCAGCTGAGATACTACTTCCCAGCAGTATCAGCTGGGAAGGTCCAGGGGTCCTGATCTTCTTTCCAGTCCCTGGAAGATGGGGTCCAGCCAAAGTAGGATAATCATCGGTGACCAGGCAGGGTGGGACTGGGGGTCACTGTCTGGAGGGCGGGATCCTGTATTCTTCGGAAGATGGCTGGGAAATTCTTTCCTCCATTGCGTAGAACTTTCTTTCCCTCCTCGGTTGAGGTGCCTAGATGTCTCACAATGGGGTCCTCAGTCTGGGAAAAGGAAGGGTCCAATAAGTCCCTGCCCACCTTTCAGACTGCCCTGGCCCCCTAGACTCCCATCCCATCCTCCTGGCACTGAGCTGCATTCAAAGAATACAGAACCACTCTGGAAAGCGCCTGCATCTTTGCAATTTCCCTTAGGCCCCCTACTTACCAGTTCCTCCAGAGATACACGCTCAAACAGGGGGTGCCCTTCAAAATGAGTGCACATCCAGTCGTGTAGTTCCAGCACATCAGTTATGGTATATACCAGCCCCTGCACAGGCAAAATCACTAGATGGGGGATTGAGGGGAGGTGCTGCATGCAATTGAGTAGCACAATGATGGAAGTGGTGGTGCAAGTCCCTAAATGCATCCCCACTGCATTCTTAGTGAAGGGCCCGAGTAGGCCACTTACTCCATCCTTCCTCCCACTCCCGACTCACCCCAACTCTCAGCACGTAGGCATATTCTGCCAGCAATGTGGGACTGATGATTCGCCACTTGTGCTTCGTCCGTTTGAAATGTGGGTCAGGGAAGAGGAAGAACATCTTTGTCAGCTGTGAGACAGACATGCACCAACAATGTTGTGGGAGCCTGGCCTCCAGGTTCGCCTACTTACCAGGCTAACCCACTAGGGCCCCTCCCCACCTGGCCCTTGCGGAAGAAGTTAGGAAGGTGCTTCATGGCATTACTACGGAGACAGGCGATGTTCTGGAAGCCACCTCCAGGAGCTGCGCGTAGGGCCCGAATCCGGTCTTGTACATAGTCTGAGACTTTCACCCGGATCTCCAGACCCAGAATCAGCGTGTCTGGAAACAGCGGTGACAGTTCCACTGGACACAGAAATAGCGATGGAATCATCAACCTTATACTTGCAGGAAGTGTAAAGGAGTCAACATAGCAAAGGAAGCCTCAATCTGCAACTACCAAAGTCAGGAATGGCAAGTGGGGACAGAGATACCTATGTGGATAGCCAGGGAGATCTGAAAATTGTCACCAGGACTGGAATGGGAGGGCTAAGAATATATGTATATTTTCAATTGTTTTAGAGTTTCCACAGTGTTTTCACATCCTTACAACACTCTGTGTTAACTGTGAAGATGAGGAACTGTGGTCAGAAATGCTCAAGATCATATAGCACTAAGAAGGGGTAGAGCTAGAATTAGAACCGAGATTTTCTGCTTCCAAGTATCATACTCTTCTTCTCTATCAGGCTGTTATCTGTATGGGAAGATCTAAAAATAGGGAAGTGCCTTGGCATGCACAGGTGGGACAATACAGACAATATAAGAAGAACCCAAAAAACCTGAGAGTGGAGCAAAAGGAATGAGTTCTAGTGAGGGAGGGTGCTGGGGGAGGGGATATGGAGGAATCTCTGAGAAAGACAGTTCAGGATCACTAGCCACTGTGGCTAATCTCTGACGCTTGTGCTGACCTGCTCACTGACCCAGCACCTGGCAGGTGAAATGGCTCACATAGGCCAGACAGCACAACCTAGGTTATGAGAGGCACCTGAGGCAGCCCCCCTCCATTCTCCAGAGCAAAGGCCACAGACTCAGAGTAGAGAGAAGGTGGAGGCCATCCCTGCTGATGTCACCAGTGTCTGGTCAAAAGGAGAAAGGCCAACTATGGCCCCCACAAAACCTGCTGAGGTGGCAGAAAGCAGGTCTCTCCTCTACCCCAGAGAAAGGGCCAGAGTGTTACCTAACAGGCCACCATAGCCACAGCCTATGTCTGCAAACTCCACTTGGGCCTGAGCTCTCTTTTCCTTCTTATCCTTTGAGTCATCGTGGCTCTGATTTTGAGTGAGTGGAGCGAAGAACTCTGGGTATAACTCAGACCAGTCCATCTCTTCTGGCTTCACAGGGCTATTGGAAAGAAGGCATAAGAAATGTGAGAAGGTTGGCCATACTATTGCAGAAGTGGCACTGTGAGTGTGTGGGTGGGTGACGGTGGGAGGAGGGTTTCTCAACAGTGGGCTGTGTGACCTCTAGGAGGCACAATGGAAACCACCCTTAACCCCTAGGGTGAATCACAGGCCCATCATCGCTGACCTGCCTGTCTCCACTTTTAGGGGTTGATGTGACCCTGGCCGGACAGCTCTCCTTTCTGGGGGCACAAGTTCCCCTTCTCCCCGAGACTGGCTGCCTAAGGCATGGGATCCTATTATGTGTATGCGTTCTGTGGGATGGAGTAAGGTGGGGACAGGACTGTGTATACGTTTGCCTTTTTATTAAATCCAACAAACAAAACAGAAAGATGGAAACGACATTCTGCCTCTATTACTAGTTTCAGTAACAATTCTTTCTCTTCCCAGACTTGGCACCGCTACCCAGACTTAGGCCAGGACGCCACGCCCCCTCCCAACTGGCCAATTCCATTCTCTGTCAAATCCGCCGGACCCACCCCCAAAACTGACGTCACCCAGCGGATCCTCCCGGGTCTACCCCACTTCCTCCCAACCGTCCCAGCACAACTGCTTCCCAGGCTGCTTAGAGAACCCAGCGCTCCTTTCCCTCCCCGCGCCCCGCCCACTCACTAGCGCAGCGTGTGGTCCGCCATGGGATTGGAGTGGGCGCGTTGCCGGTAGTAGCGCTTCTGGGGCTGCGGGGCCTCGGCTCCGGCCGCGTCAAAACTCTCGGCTCCCGCCATGATCCGCGGTCCTGGGTTTCAACACCTAACCCACGTGGAGAGACGTAGGACCGAGGCGCAAGATAATGACGCAGCCTCGCACGCTGGCAGCGGACCCCGCCCCTTAAAGACCCAAGGGCGAATTCGTCTGGGCTACGCAGGGAGGACGTGCCCGGCGGGTGCAGGGAGGCGCCTCCCCATCGCTAGTCCCTAACCCGGCTGGCGAGGCCAGACCCAGGCACCCAACCTTTCCCCTTAGCTTGCATCTGCCTGGTCTGGGCTACCATCTGGTTGCAGCACCAGTGCACCCCACAGGTAAGAGGGGCCTGGGAGACCCCGCCTCCAACAGTAGAGTCACTCACTCGTCACCCCTCTCCCCGGGTCTCGGACCTGTCTACTGGGGCTGACCTGTGTGGTCCTGCCTGAGTCCGGTCGGGTATGCGCTAGGGACCAGGGCGGGAGGGGCCGCTCCTCATTCCACCTCCAGGAAGTCAAACTGGAAGGAGGAGGGCAAACCCGGGGAGGCGGGGCTCGTGCCACTGGGAAGCCGAGACGGCCGGCGGCCCCCAGCCCGTACCCCGCGGCAGACCAGCGATCCCAGCGCGGGCCGCGGTGCTCCGGCGCTCTGTCCGGCGCTCTGTCCGCCGCATGGCTGACCCCGGCCCAGATCCTGAATCAGAGCCCGAGTCGGTGTTCCCACGGGAGGTCGGGCTCTTCGCGGACTCTTACTCCGAAAAGAGCAAGTTCTCCTTCTGTGGGCATGTGCTGAGCATCACGCAGAACTTCGGGTCTCGCCTCGGGGTGGCGGCGGGCGTGTGGGACGCGGTGAGGAGTGGGCAGCTCCGGGCGAGGGTCCCTGGGAGGTCCAGCCCCTGACTCCGTCTCTTCCAGATGGAGCCCTCACTCCGACGGTCTTTTTCTCTCTTTTCTCCCATAGGCTCTGAGCCTGTGCAGTTATTTCGAGAGCCAAAATATGGATTTCCGAGGCAAGAAGGTGATCGAACTGGGCGCGGGGACGGGCATCGTGGGCATCTTGGCAGCGCTGCAGGGTGCGTGAGCTGGCTTTGCGGCGGGAGAGTGTGGGGGCGGGTAGGGAGGAGGAGAAACTGTCGCTTCGTGAATTCTTGGGAGAGGGGAGTGCTTTAGGCCCAGTGTAGTACCTTCTTTTAACAAATTTTCCCCCTCAACCCCCAGTGTTGATTGGCTGTCAGAGTACCCAGGGTGGTTGATTTGAGAGTAGGAAATAAAAATTAGGCAAGTCTTGTAGAAGTTGTTTCTACCTTTTTGCTTTTTTTGTGATTTCATGGAGAATGCTTTTACATATAATCTCCCTTGCTTTTGACATGATCTTCTGTCAAAACGCATATATGGGGGTCCCCTGTAGGGGGAGAGACCTGCCAGTATTTTTTTTTTTTTTTTGAGACATAGTCTCCCTCTGTTGCCTGGAGTACCCTAGCTTCATCGTAACTCACAGCAACCTCAAACTCCTGGGCTAAAGCTATTTCCTGCCTCAGCCTCCTGAGTAGCTGAGACTACAGGCATGCACCACCAGGCCTGGCTAATTTTTTCTATTTTCAGTTGCCCAGCTATTTTTTTCTCTCTCTAGTTTTAGTAGAGACAGGGTCTTGGTCTTGCTCAGTCTGGTCTTGAACCCCGGAGCTTTAAGCAGTCTTCCCACCTTGGCCTCCCAGAGTGCTAGGATTACAGGCATGAGCTGCCACGCCCAGCTGACCTGTGAATATTAAACCTCATGAGTGGCCAGGTGCGGTAGCTCATGCCTGTAATCCCAGCACTTTGGGAGGCCAAGGTGGGAGGATCACTTGAAGCTAGGAGTTTGAGACCAGCCTGGGCAACATAGACAGACTCCATGTCTACAAAAAATAAAAAATTTAGCGGGCCATGGTGGCATGTGCCTGTATTCTTGGCTACTCTGGAGGCTGAGGCAGGAGGATCACTTGAGCCTGGGAGTTGGAGGTTTCAGTGAGCTATAATTGTACCTTTGAACTCCAGGCTAGGGAACAGAGTGAGACCTTGTCTCTAAAAACAATAAATAATTAAACAAACAAACAAACCCCATGTGTGCTTTATAACCTTATTATGAATATATTTTAGATGCTTTAAGTTTTTATTGCTAGTAGAAACAAACTTATGAGTTTCTGAGGGTTAGGCTGTGTTTTGTGGGAAGTGAGGGTAGGAATTAGACACTGCAGACTTGGGAAAGGAAAAGGTGAAGAAAATTTTGCTTCAATTTTGTCAAGAACCAAAAACTACAAAGTAAACAGTTCCTTACCTTATAATCTAAGGCAGGAGTCCTCAAACGTTTTAAACAGGGGGCCAGTTCACTGTCCCTCAGACCGTTGGAGGGTCGGACTATAGTTTAAAAAAAACTATGAACAAATTCCTATGCATACTGCACATATCTTATTTTGAAGTAAATAAACAAACGGGCAAAAACACCTGCATGTGGCCCTTGGGCTGTAGTTTGAGGCGCCTGATCTAAGGGGAAGATAAAATGTACATTGAAAGCACTCATTTAAAAACTCTTATGAAGTCATCTCCCTAGGAATGCAAATTAGCATGTCCTTGTTCATAGGCACAGAATTAGGTCACATTAAGGGAAGTCTTCCCAGAGGCAGACATTCATTCTTCTGTTCATTCAGCCAACAAGTATTCCAGGTCCCCTATGTGCCAAGAATCATGCTAGGTATTGGGATTCAACAATGAATAAGACAGATTTCCTCTGCCCAAGGAGCTTATGGTCGAGTGGATGAGATAGGGGAAGACGTTATAGCACAAGAACTATGATGAGGCATGTGCAGAGCCTTTGGACATGCTCTGTTCATGTCCATATGGACTCCTCGGAATCCCTCAAGGGGAAGATCTGCCAAGTGAAGATGGAGGTGACCAGTGTGAACTCAGCAGGCTCAGAAAGAATGAAAAAGGTGTCAATAGTAGTTTTTCCGTGAAGGATGAGCGGATGAGAGAAAGGCAGTTATGTTAAAAAGAGGAGAAAAGGCTGGGAACACCTACCTTCACTTGTTCCTAGACTGGCTTCTCTTCCTTTACTCCCTATTTGGCTGCCAGGTCAGAAATCTGGGTGTCATCTTGTCCCTCGCCTTCTCCCCTCACATCCCAGCAGTCAGCCAGTCTCAGGGGTTATATGTTCTTAATATTTCCCCAATTGTCTTCCCCTCTTTCCGCCATCTCTAGTCCAGGCCACTGCTGTCTCTTGCCTGGATTTTCACAAGAGCCTTCAAGCTTTTTCACAGGGATGTTTAGCATGCCCAAACTAGCTCTTGTGCTCTCCCCCCACCCCAAACCCATTTCTCCCTAAGGCTCCCCTTCGTGGTAAATCAAACCACCATCCATCCAGTGGGAAACCTACACACCACCTTTGACATGTCCCTGTTTCTCATTCCCAAATCCTATTGATTTTACCTCCTAAAAAATCTCTTGAATCTTCTAACATCTTTCCCTTTCCATTGACAGTTCCCCAGTCCAAGCCACCACCACCACTTGCCTGGACTGCTACTTAGTCAAAATAGTCATCTTGCCTTGACTCCTTGTCCCTGGCTAGACCTCTGTCCTCTCCACCCAGCAGTTGGAGTGATCTTTTCAAAATGCAACTGTAATCATGCACCTGTACCCCAAATCTTTCTCATGGCTTCTCATTGCTTTCAGGATAGAACCAATACCCTTGGCATGGCCTCCAAGGTCCTGCTTCCCTCTCCAGCCTCTTCTGTGCCTCCTCCCCTCCTATCCTCCTTGGGCTGCCTATTGCCCTTCAGTCAGTTCCTCAAACCTCCTTTTTTTTTTCTTCTTTCTTTTAAGAGAGATAGGGACTGGCTTTGTGGCCCAGGCTGGTGTGCAGTGATGTGATCATAGCTCATTGTAGCCTGGGCTCCAGCGATCTTCCTGCCTCTGTTTCCTATGGTGCTTGAGATTATAGGTGTGAGCCACTGTGTCCAGCCCTCAAACCTACTTTGATGTTCCTTTCCTTAGGGTTTTCACACATGCTGTACTTTCTGTCTGAAGCGTTTTTACCACCTGGTTAAGGCATATGCATCCTTCATTGCTCAGCTCAAACATCACTTTGAAGGGAAGGCCTCCTTGACACTCCCACCCTCAGGCTAGCTTAGGCCCTCTGCCCCTGCTACTGTATACACAACTGTGCTAACTGGTGTCATATTAAATTTGTTATCACTCACCTCAGGTAGGTCTTAAGTGCCACCCAGCTAGCCTATTACACTTCCCTTGTCCACTTATTCTTCTACTCTCCTAAACATTTGTTTCTTATCTTCCTGTTCTTTAAACTTCCAAGTTTTTGGCCGGGCACAGTGGCTCACGCCTGTAATCCTAGCACTCTGGGAGGCCGAGACAGGCAGATTGTTCGATGTCAGGAGTTCGAAACCAGCCTGAGCAAAGGTGAGACCCCATCTGTACTATAAATAGAAAGAAATTAATTGGCCAACTAATATATATAGAAAAAATTAGCCGGGCATGGTGGCGCATGCCTGTAGTCCCAGCTACTCAGGAGGCTGAGGCAGCAGGATTGGTTGAGCCCAGGAGTTTGAGGTTGCTGTGAGCTAGGCTGACGCCACGGCACTCACTATAGCCTGGGCAACAAAGTGAGACTCTGTCTCAAAACAAAAAAACAAAAAAAAAAACAACTTCCAAGTTCTATCTTCACCCTTAGCTAATGACTTTGTTTCCTATCTCTTCTGATTGCTTCTGTTTTCTCATAAAACATCCACAATGTTTTGTTCCTATCACAACATCTGCTCACCTAACCGTGTCTGTGTCTGCGGACACCGCCTTCTCACCTGTTACTGGGGATGAACGCACTGCTAGCTAAGGTCAAGTCCTCCACTTGTCACAAGACCCCAAATCTCCCACCTATTCAAAGACATTTTCCAGCAATCCCTACTCCCACGCCCATCTCTCTTGCATTATCGGTTTTTCCTTCTCTCTGGGTCATTCCATATACATATGGAATATAAATATGCATGTAAATTACTATCCTTTCTCAGAAAAAACCCTTGATCCTACATCTCCTTCCAGCTACCACCCCATTTCACTGCTCCACTTTAAAACAAAACTCAAGAGTTAATATTGTCTGTCTCTAGTTCCTCTCTTTTTATTTTTTCCTCAATCCATACCAATCAAATTTTCAGTCCAGCATGCCCTGTTCATGCCAGTATCTCTAGTTCAGGTTGTGAGCTTCATTTCTGACTTCATCTTGTTAAACCCAGGAGCCAGTTATCAGCCCACCTTTGTTGACTCTGAATTTGACACTGATACTACCTCCTTCTTGGAACACTTCTTTTGGTTTCCAGGCTACTACACTTCTGGTTTCTGCTTACCTCACTGGCACTCCTTTCCGTTCTCTTTTGTTGGTTCCTTTTCATCTTCACAGCTGAAAATTTGAGTGCCTCCAGGCTCAGGGGCAGTCTTTTGGCCCCCTCTTTTCTCTGTGTATGCACACTCCTAAGCAATCCTATCACCTCATGGCTTTAAATGTCCTTTTTATAATGATGACTCTATGACTGTCCCTTTTCTATCTCCAGACTTGTTTGCATAACCTACTGCCTACTCAGTATCTTCATGTGGTTGTCTGATGGACATCTCAAACTTAACGTGTCCAGAAATGGATGCGTGATATTCCTGCCCAAACCTGCCCCTTCTGCAGCCTTCCTCATCTAAGTGACTGGTAATTTGGTCTTCTGAGAACCATCCTGAGCTGCTATCTCTTTCTGATATTTCATATCTAATCTGTTGGCAAATACTGCCTCAGATCTCGAAAATATATTTAGGATCCAACTACTTCTTAGCCATTGCTACTTCCCTCGTTTAAACCTCATCTCTCACCTGGGTCCTTGCAGTCACCTCCTAACTGGTCTCCTTGAATCAGACCTTGCCCTTCTGCAGTCTTTCCCACAGCAGCCCGAGTGCACCTCTTAAAGCATAAGTCGGTATATGCCATTCTTCCCTTTAAAATTCTCCTGCAGCTTCCCATATCACTCAGACGAAAAGCCCTGATTATGCTCCAATCCCTACTGTTATCCCCTTCACTCACTCTGCTCCAGCCACTGGCCCTCCTGCTGTTCTTCACACCTGCCAAGCACACTCCTCCCTCAGAGTCTTTGCACTTGCTGGTCTGTTGTGTGGTAGACTTTAGCCTGAGCGATCTCTGTGGTTTGTTCTGTCGCTTTCTCCAGGTCTTTGCCCAGATTCAATCATCTCAGGGAAGCTTTTCTCAACCATCCAATTTAAAATTACATTCCCTGCCCCATCCTTCAAGCAATTCTCATCCTCCTTCCTGGCTTGGCTACTTCACAGTAGTAAGTAGCACTTACTACTGTCTGATATACAATGTATTTTGTTTTATTTTATTTAGTTTGTTGTGTTTCTTACCACTGGACTGTAAGCTCCATGTCAGGGAGAATCTTGTCTGCTTGGTTCACTGCTGTGTTCTCAGCACCTGGCATTTAGGCACATAATAAATATTAATGAATGAATGAATTCTTAGTCCTTCCTGCTTCTCTTTCTATAATAGTTATCATGATGATGAGTAAATGGTTACTTTTGCAGTACCTAATGTGTCTCTGCCTCTAGAATGAAACACAAGGAAGGCTGAGGTTCTGTCTTGCTCACTAGTATGTAGCCAACACTTAGTAGGGGTTCAGTATATATATTTATTGCATGAATGAAGCTTTCTGAGTTGCTAATCTGATCATCTTCACTCCTGCTTCTGCCCTTAAAACTTACTGCCCTCAGGAGGATCAAACCCGAGTCTCCTTAGCATGTCATAATTACTTTCCTCTCATCTCATGTCTTGACATTTTTCTCCTTTCTCCAGAACCTGTAAGACCCAGCCTTCCTTGAATATGCCTTGCTTTCTCACTGCCAGGCCTTTGTACTCGCTGTTCTTTTCTTGGAAAGCTCCACCTGACTAAGTTCTACTTGTCCTTTAGAGCTCAGCTGAGGTCACGCCTTCTGGAAAGCTTTCCATACCCCTACAGAGGGCTTGTGTTGGTGGGGGTGGGTGCATAGCCCATCTCCAGCTGAGGCCTTCCCAGGCTTCTGCTGACATCTGATCATTGTGTGTGGGGCAGAGATTGAAGATTAGCTCAGAGAGAATGTTGATGTTGTAGAATGTAGAGTAATGAGAATGGCAGTGAGTGAAAGGGTAGTTAGGACAACTAAAAACCAGTGTGGGCTTTGGCTGTCAAGACATTGTTCTTTATGCCCCGAGGTTCCTGGAGCTTCCAGGCAGAGAAGGTCCCTCTGACTTGCATTTTTCCTCCTTCCTCTCTCTCAGGGGGGGATGTTACCATCACTGACCTGCCTCTGGCCCTAGAACAGATCCAGGGCAACGTCCGGGCCAATGTGTCAGCTGGAGGCCAGGCCCAGGTCCGGGCCTTGTCCTGGGGGATTGACCAGCATGTCTTCCCTGGAGACTATGACCTGGTGCTGGGGGCTGATATCGTGTACCTGGAACCCACCTTCCCACTGCTGCTGGGGACCCTCCAACATCTGTGCGGGCCCCATGGCACCATCTATCTGGCCTCCACGATGAGAGAGGAGCATGGGACGGAGAGCTTCTTTCAGCATTTCCTGCCCCAGCATTTCCAACTGGAGCTGGTCCAGCGATGTGAGGATGAGAATGTCAACATTTATAGGGCCAGGCGCAGGGAACCAAGACCTGCTTGACATCACCCCTTCTGTCCTTCTGAACCTTTTGCCCTAATGAAGGAAGTGCCTATCTCCAAAGCTATTCCACAGAGCCATAAGCACAAAGACCAGAAAGGATGGATTTCCCTGGCCTCTCTTTTTCTTCCTTCCCTCTTTGTTCCCCCAGATACTCTTGGGCTGGTGCAGGGAGATGCCTGCTTACTAGGAATCCTAGAGCCCTGGCAGTACTGGAGTTAGAGCACCAAGGAGGTTCCCAGCTCCTGTTCTTAGAGGAGGAGGATGGGAAAGTATACAGGATTTTTAGGGGTAAGGGAAGTAAGTGGGTTGTAAGAACAGTGGCTGCGGAGAGAGACTGTCACTGATCACTTGTAGTCCTGGTGCTGTCTGTTTATACAGAATGGACTTTTTAAAAAAACAAATTCTGTGGAATTTTTCCTAAAGGGCAACAAATAAGCATTAAAAATCTCTTTTGCATCCAAAGAACTCAGTTTTTGCCAGGGACTGAGGAGTAAGAAGCTTCAGACCACCTGTTTCTTGCTTTCAGAGATACAGTCTGGTCTGCAAGGACCATGGTTCTAACTGGGTGAAGTCCTCCCACCCCTGCAACTGGGAATAGGCAGCAGATCTGTCCTTTGGACTGTAGTTTCTTCATCCTTCTTGGAGTTGGAGCCCTAATTACAGAACATCATTTTCTGCAGAAGAACATGGGCCTGAGTACTAGGTTCTTTTCACCTGTGGTTTTTATTTAGACTTCTAAGCTTTATCAGTCCTTCCATCCTAATGTGTTTTGCCCTCACCTCTTTTCTCTTCCCACTGTGGCACCTCTGGTTGGAACTTTCTTTACTTACTGCATAGCCACATAGTCACTTCCTCTGGACTCTGTGCGGCCATTCTCTCTCCTTCAAGCTATTCTGCAAACTCTTGTAAGCTTTCAAAATCAGCTCTGAATAGCTTTTACTGCCTATGGAAGAAAAACAAGCTTCTCTGCTTGGTACTTAGTCTATGCCATGTGATCCCAAATTGCCTTTCTACTTCATTTCCTACATGAATTGGACCTCTGGTCAAATTATAAAAAATCTATTCTCTAACTCCACACTAAAATTTCCTGACTTCTTCCTCCATTCTTTATGATGAGTCCCTGCTTGGAAGGGCTACTGCTACCTGTCAAAATCTTCATTATCCTTTGCCTCTTTCCTGAAAAAAGGTTTTCCTGAGCCTCTTGCTTGGATGTGATTTCTTTCTCCCTGAGACTTTTTCACTGTTTTTTCATCTTAGGGGACCTTACTTTGTCTTGCATGGACATAATAACCCTCATTTTCTCACCATTAGATTACTTTGGAGGGTAGGGCTGTGGTTTATTCATCTCTAATCCCTACAGTTCCTGGCACACAGTAGGCGTTCAACAAATATTTTGCTCACTCAATAAATATTTATTTGGTTTGTTGAAAGAACTCCACCCCTACTTTCCTGTCCAATTTGATATTGGACAAATTCCTGAATCCACCCACCTACCTCACAAGTTTGTTGTGAGTTATTAAATGGACAATGAATATAAAAGCGCATTGAAAATAAAGAAACATAAGGTGTAACCCATATATCTTGTATTGTTTTTTAACAACTTTATTTCTTGCGTTCCGTTATTTTACCTGTGAGGGGTAATTCCCGTGTGAAATGCAATCAATAAACCAAGTAGAGGAAGCGACTGTGCCCCTCCTACCAGCAGGTGGCGCCATCCTCGTTTAGCGTGTTTAGGTGGAGAGTTCTGACCCTTCTGCGCCGCCGTAGGTCTGTCGCTTCACCGGTGCGCCAGCCGGCGCAAGTGTACTGCGACCAGAAAGATGTCGCTGCTGCGGTCATTGAGCTTTTGCCTGGTCTCGCGGACCAGGAGTTGCCTGGTGAGGTGTCCTGGCCCCGTTATCGACCTTCCTTTATGGCAGCTCTCCTGTGTGCCTGGAGCGTACCCTTCCCTTCCCCCGACCCCGTTCGACTCCATCACACCCTTACCCCGACGGCTTTGTCTCAGCCCCCCCGAGCTACCTTTTCCACATTTCCCGAGCCCTAAGGTCGCCTCCCTGCAGCTGTGCCCACCGCGCCCCGGAGTTCGTTGCTTCCTGCTTCTCATCCCTTTCTTCTTAACGTTTCCAGGCAGGGTCTCTTCTGCTTCAGTCGCCTCAGCTGTGGCACACATTTCACGCTGGGTCCTGGCTGTCTTCCTCGGCCTCCAGCAAGGAACTTCTCATGAAATTGCGGCGGAAGACGGGCTACTCCTTTGTAAATTGCAAGAAAGCTCTAGAGACTTGTGGCGGGGATCTCAAACAGGTGTGTGCATGGCAGGGGTTGGGGAGTGCAGGGCAGGATGCTAGGGCTCGACCTCAGACTTTTGGGGCGGTCTGCTGAGGAGCATAGAAGTCAGACCTGCTGCCAGTGACCCATAATGGCAGAGCCCTAGATGGAATTCTGGCTTAAATGACAGCCTCAGCCTTTGCCTTTCTTTTATTTGGAAGCAATTAAGTCAGGATCCCAAGGTTAGCAAACACTATTCCATGCAAGACTGCTGCTATGGTGTTTCCTGCTGCCTGGAGCTGAAAGGGTTTGTGTGAGTTTTGGAGTCAGACCAACCAGGACTCAAACGGTGGTGCCCTCACACTAACCCTGTGACCTAGGACATCTTAATTAATCTTTCAGAGTTGTTTTGTTCTTGTCTGTATAGCCATGCATCTCTTCACCACAGGGTACATTCTGAGAAATGAGTAATTAGGCAGTTTTGTTCTGTGACCCTCATAGAACACACTTACACAAACCTAGATGGTATAGCCTACTACACCCCTAGGCTGCACAGTATAGCCTATTGCTCCTAGACTACACACCTGTATAACATGTTATTGTACTGAATACTGTAGGCATTTATAACACAATGGTAAGTCTTTGTGTATCGAAACATAGAAAAGGTACAGTAAAAATACAGTATAAAAGATAAATGGCACACTTTTATAGGCCACTTACCATGAATGGAGCCTGCAGGACTGGAAGCTGCTCTATGTAAGTCAGTGAGTGAGTGGTGAGTGTGAAGTCTTACCTAAGACATTATTGAACATTTTTGTAGACTTTCTAACTACTGTACACTTAGGCTACACTAAATTTATGTAAAAAATTTTTCTTCAGGCCGGGCGCTGTGGCTCACGCCTGTAATCCTAGCTCTTGGGAGGCCGAGGCCGAGGCAGGCGGATTGCTCAAGGTCAGGAGTTCAAAACCAGCCTGAGCAAGAGCGAGACCCCGTCTCTACTATAAATAGAAAGAAATTAATTGGCCAACTGATATATATATAAAAAATTAGCCGGGCATGGTGGCGCATGCCTGTAGTCCCAGCTACTCGGGAGGCTGAGCAGAAGATCACTCGAAGTTTGAGGTTGCTGTGAGCTAGGCTGACGCCACGGCACTCACTCTAGCCTGGACAACAAAGTGAGACTCTGTCGCAAAAAAAAAAAAAAAAAAAAAAAATTTTTCTTCAATGATAAATTAATCTTAGCTTACTATAACTTTTTAATTTTATAAACGTTTTAAATCTTTTGATTTTCTTTGGACTCTTTTGTGATAGCTCTTGGCTTAAAACACAAACAGGCCGGGTGCAGTGGGCTTGTGCCTGTAACCCTGGCACTTTGGGAGGCCGAGGCAGGACAATCACTTGAGGCTGGGAGTTCAAGACCAGCCTGGGCAATGTATCGAGACCCCCCTCCCTACAAAAAAATTTTTTAAAAATTAGTTGAGCATGGTAGCACACACCTGTAGCTACTTGGAAGGCTGAGCCAGGAGGATCACTTGAGCCCAGGAGTTTGAGGTTGCAGTGAGCTATGATCACACCACTGTACTCCACTGGCACGGGCAACAGAGTAAGACCCTGTCTCAAAAAAACAAAGCAAAACAAAACAAACCCCCCCCAAACCACAAATACATTGTATAGGTCTTTGTTTATATCCTTATTCTATAAACTTTTTTCTGTTTTTTTTGTTTATTTTTTAAATTTATTTTTTTATATGGAACACTTCATGAATTTGCACATCATCCTCATGCAGGGGCCATATTAATCTTCACTATATTGTTTCAATTTTAGAATGTGTGCTGTCAAAGCCAGCAATCGAGTTTTAATTATTTTTTTTACTTTTTAAACTTTTTTGTTAAAAACTAAGACACAAATACAGACATTAGCCTGGGCCTACACAGGGTCAGGATCATTGATATCACTGTCTTCCACTCCCACGTTTTGCCCCACTGGAAGGTATTCGAGGGTAGCAAGATGCATGGAGCTGTAAACTCCTATGATAATAATGCCTTCTTCTGAAATACCTCCTGAAGGACCTTCCTGAGGCTGTTTTACAGTTAACTTTTTAAATTTTTTAAATTTTATTATTTAAAAAAAATTTTTTTTTTGAGACAGAGTCTCATTCTGTTGCCCAGGTTAGAGTGCCATGGCATCAGCCTAGCTCACAGCAACCTCAAACTCCTGGGCTCAAGCCATCCTTCTGTCTCAGCCTCCCAAGTAGCTGGGACTATAGGCATCCACCACCATGCCCGGCTAATTTTTTCTATATATTTTTAGTTAGCCAGTTAATTTCTTTCTATTTTTAGTAGAGATGGGGTTTCGCTCTTACTCAGGCTGGTCTGGAACTCCTAACCTTGAGTGATCCTCCCACCTCGGCCTCCCAGAGTGCTAGGATTACAGGCGTGAGCTACCATGCCTGGCCTACAGTTAAATTTTTTTAAAAAATGAGTTAGAGTATTCTCTAAAATAACGATAAGAAGTATAATAGTATAGCAAATACATAAACTAATAACAGTCATTTGTTATTATCAAGTATTATGTACTGTACGTAATTGTATGTGCTATACTTTTATATGACTAGCAGCACAGTAGGTTTGTATACACCAGCATCACCACAAACGTGAGTAAGGCATTGCACTACTTCATTAGGAGGGCTACTGTGTCACTAGGCAATTTTTCAGCTCCATTATAATCATGGGACCACCATTGTATATGCAATCCATTGTTGACCAAAACGTCATGACATGCATGATTGTATAATGAAAATACTACACTATGCCCCATAGAGTTGCTGTGAAGATTAAACTTATCCATAACACTAGTTACAAAAATGCCTGGCATTTGGCATTTAGTGATAGACTGTCCGTAAATGATAGATTCATTTCTATTAGAGAATTTAGGAGAAGTAGAAAGAATCAGGGAACTGGAACATATTTTAGAGCTCTTATCAGTCCTCAATTCTGTGACTTTGTCATCTGCTCTTTTTCTTTTCAATTTGTAGGCTGAGGTCTGGCTCCACAAGCAGGCCCAGCAGGAGGGCTGGAGCAAAGCTGCCAAGCTCCATGGGAGGAAGACTAAAGAAGGCCTGATTGGGCTGTTGCAGGAAGGAAACGTGACTGTATTAGTAGAGGTGAGTTGTTGGAAATTCCACACAGCAAGACAGCTGTCACTGGGCTTGTGGTAGACCCTTTAAAGAAGAGGTCTGTTTGAGAACCATAAAGGGGAGTTGACGTTAAACTTATAAGACCTCAGTTATTACCTACAGATTCATTGAAGTATAGAAACACACAGATATGTTGATGAGAAATGGCCTGGCAGTCTAGAATATTACTCCTAAGTGTGAATTTAGTGCTGCCTTATACCTAGTCACTGATTGTTTCCTGGAACAGTTAGATTTTAAAGCTAGTAATTCATTAGTTGATGGAGAGAGAATAGCTGTTTAGAGGAGGTTTGGGGGCCATAACTGGTGAAGAATCAGATGTGGATCAGAGTGAGAGAGGGGAATAAACAAGGTGATAGCAAAAGCTGTTTGGAGTCGAGGCTGGAGAGTGCGGTGATGATGGTATGCAGCCACAGGCAAGGTAGTGAGCTTGCAGTGAGCCTTTTGGGACATTGTCAAACCATCTTCTGAATGCCTGGGCTACGGCTTACTTACTGGCCGGACAGGAATCACTTCATTCAATCAGTTCATTCATTTCAGGCCTCAAACTAAGAGAGGAACCGCAGCTTTAAAATTCTAGGGTCATTTATTTCTGTTGAATCTGTAGCTTGTTCTATCAATATCTTGGTTTACTCTCCAACCTAAAGGTACTTGTGGAAACTATCAGTAAACAGCTTATATAGCAACCTCAATTTGTTCCCACAGGTAAACTGTGAGACAGATTTTGTTTCCAAGAACTTAAGATTTCAACAGCTGGTCCAGCAAGTAGCCCTTGGAACCATGCTACATTGTCAGAGCCTAAAGGATCAAGTCTCCACCTACAGTAAAGTGAGTTTGGGGGCTGTCTCCAGCATGTTGAATTTGTTCACAGCTTAGGGTCTTTGCTGTTCCTTTTTAAGACATTCTTATGTCTCATTTCCTTCCTTCACATTTCTTTGGGGAGGGCTACCCTTCCTCCTGTTGCTCTATCTTATTCTGCCTCATTTAAAATTTTTTATTATAGTGCTTATGTGTTAAATGTTTTTTTTTTTTTTTTTTTTTTGAGACAGAGTCTCACTTTGTTGCCCAGGCTAGAGTGAGTGCCGTGGCATCAGCCTAGCTCACAACAACCTCAAACTCCTGGGCTCAAGTGATCCTTCTGCCTCAGCCTCCTGAGTAGCTGGGACTACAGGCATGCGCCACCATGCCCGGCTAATTTTTTCTATATATATTAGTTGGCCAATTAATTTATTTCTATTTATAGTAGAGACAGGGTCTCGCTCTTGCTCAGTCTGGTTTAGAACTCCTGACCTTGAGCAATCCTCCCGCCTCGGCCTCCCAGAGTGCTAGGATTACAGGCGTGACCCACCGCGCCTGGCCATGTGTTACATTTTTATTTTTATGTTGTCTGTCTTCTCTAATAAAATGTAAGCTGCATGAGACAGGGAATTTGTCTTTTCACTACTGTATCTCTGGTGAAAGAAAACTGGACCCAACACTTAGCTGGAGCTCAATAAATCTTTGTCTAGTGAGTGAACGAATGAGTGTGGTGGTGTCAGCCAAATCATTGAAGCCATCTGAGGCTTTGAGGTCAAAAATCTGGAGTGGCCTGAAGAAAAGGATTCTAAATAGAGAGATTGGAGAAGGCACAATTTAGGAGAATAAGCATATTCTTGCCATAGAAAGTTCAAGGAAGGAATTATATCTATCTGCCTTTGATTTGGCCTTATTTTCAAGGGAAAAATTAACCACCCACAGCAATTTTTTTTCATTTATTACCACCTTTTTCTTTTTCTTTTCCTCCTGAGATCTCTTGGTAAATGTTAATTATTACTGGCATTGAATAGTCATATGGAAAACAGTGTTAAGATTATTTTTTTAGAATTGTATTGAGTAGATGAGTCTCTTGAACTAGAAAGTCTAGCTTTGATTTTTCCCATAACTCTATTCATAACCCTGAGCCATTCACTTACTTTCCTGGGCCTCTGTTTCATTATTTGTAACTTTGGTCCCTTTTAGCTTTATTTTTTTTCCTTGTGGCTTTTAGTTTAATTTTTTTAAACTTTTATTTTGAAAAAAATTCAAACTTACCAAAAAGTTGCCAGTATTCTGAAATAAATTCCAGTGTACCCTTTATCTAGATTCACCATTTTTTAACATTTTGCTGCATTTACTTTATCGGTTTTTATATACATATTAGCATCACTGTTTTTTTTTACCCTTTTGTGAGTATGCTACAGATATCAGAACCCGTTATTCCTTTGGCATGTGTCTCCTAAAATAAAGACGTTCTCTTATGTAACCACAGCACAGTGATCACATTTAGGAATTTTGACATTGATAGAATATTTTTATTTTTATAATATATAATATGTATTCATATTTTGCCATAAGCAATTTTTCTTCTAATCTGGGATCCAGTCCAGTATCCTGTGTTGCATTTAGTTGTCTTGTCTATTTAATCTCTTTTCTTTGTTCCTCAGCCTTTCTTTCTGTTTTATTACATTGACATTTTGGAAGATTATAGGACATTTTTGTAGAATGTCCTTCAATTTGGGTATAGCTGATATTTCTTCATAATTAGACTCAGAATATGGATTTTTGTTGGAATATTAAGCAGAATTTTTCTTAGAACATCACATGAGGAGGCACATGGTGACCGTTAGTCCTGTTATTGATGTTGTTAACTTTGATGTTAAGGTAGTATTTGCCAGGTTTCTCCACTGCAAAGTTGCCAGGTTCTTTGTAATTAACAAGTAATCTGTATGGGAGATTGAGACTGTGTAAACATCCAGTTCCTGAAAAGCTTTTGGCTAGTGCTAGTTGTAGCATCCATTGATGATTCTTGTCAGGATCAGTAATAACTATTACTATGATAGTTAGCACAGTGGTTTTCCTCTTATAATTTTGTTTACATTTATTAATTTTATTAATATTAATTGGCATTATGGGCTGGGCGTGGTGGCTCACGCCTGTAATCCTAGCATTCTGGGAGGCCAAGGTAGGAGGTTCGCTTGAGGTCAGGACTTCAAGACCAGCCTTAGCAAGAGCAAGACCCATCTTTATTAAAAATAGAAAGAAATTAGCCGGACAATGAAAAATAGAAAAAATTAGCCGAGCATGGTGGTGCACACCTGTAGTCCCATCTATTTGGGAGGCTGAGGCAGGAGGATCACTTGAGTCTAGGAGTTTGAGGTTGCCGTGAGTTAGGCTGACACCATGGCACTCTAGCCTAGGCAACAGAGTGAGAGTCTGTCTCAAAAATAAATAGTTGTTGTTATACTGTTAGGAAGAAATTTCCCTTATACTCCCTTTATTTAGTGATTTATTTAGTACTAACATTGACTCATGGATTTTTATTTTATACAATAGGTTATAATTCATTATATAATTCATTATTCATTTTGATATTCAAATTATCGGTAGATTTGAACAGGGCAAGCTGATTTTGTGCAAGCTGTCTCTAGTGTCCTTTTGATATGTTCTTACCATTTTCTGAGTATTTTCTCTTTGTTGTAACAAGATATTTTGGGTTTATATTGTTTATATTAGTGTTACTTTCCTAGCCTTAACCATGGAATTGTCCACTTCTTCAAGGAATCCTGGTCCTTTATAGTGGGGAAATAGTTTTTAGATCTGGGCATTAGGTATGCTTTTTTTTTTTTTTTTTTTTGAGACAAAGTCTTATTCTGTTGCCTGGGATAGAGTGCCATGGTGTCAGCCTAGCTCACAGCAACCTCAAACTCCTGAGCTCAAGCAGTCCTTCTGCTTCAGTCTCCCGAGTACTTGGGACTACAGGCATGTGCCACCATGCCAGGCTAATTTTTTCTATATATATTTTTAGTTGTCCATATAATTTCTTTCTATTTTTAGTAGAGACAGGGTCTTGCTCTTGCTCGGGCTGGTCTCAAACTCCTGAGCTCACACAATCCACCTGCCTCGGCCTCCCTGAGTGCTAGGATTACGGGCGTGAGCCACCACTTATTGTTACTGAGATGTTACAGCACACAGATCGTGTGTGTGTGTGTGTGTGTGTGTGTGTGTGTGTGTGTGTGTGTGTTTCAGTTCTAATTTAGCACCATAGGATTCTTCCTTTCCTTCCCCCATTCTGTTTGTATCTTCCTTCTCTCATAGTGAGAACACTGGCTCCTAGCAACTTCAATATATTTACTTATTTACTCAGTGTTACAATATATATAAAAAATTGTTTCAGAGTTGCTTCATCTGACCACTGGAAATAATAAAACTACTAAAGAGTTCAAGATTTCTTTCTAGTTCTTTTTGTCTTTACTTTGAAGTTATGTGGCCAAATTGTATTGCAAATTATTTGGATTAGTTTTTTTTCTTTTTGTGATGTTGTTATTCATTTGACATACAGTTAGAGTGTTATGTTTCTGTCAGTTTCTGTTTTCACTCCAAATTCTTGTTGATTTAATTTTATTTTTGAATATGTAAAACATTAGCAAAGTCCCAAAGTTAAAACTGTTAAAAAAAAATAAGGAGATATATTCAGAGAAGTCTTACTCCCTCTTCACTCTCTTCTACCCCATTCCTACCCACTCCTGTAGGTAACCAATGTCATTGGATTGTGTTTATCCTTTTGCTATTTCTTTTTGCAAAAATAAACTTATTTATATAAATCTTTTTTACACAAATGATGGTATAATATGCATATACACTTTTTTCCTGCATATGCACTTTTTATTTATTTATTTTTTAAGAGACAGAGTCTCTCTCTGATGCCTAGGCTGGAGTGCAGTGGTGCGATCATAGCTCACTGGAACCTCAAACTCCTGGGCTCAAGTGATCCTCCCACCTCAGCCTCCCAAGTAGCTAGGACTATATAGATGTGTACCACCATGACCAGCTGATTTTTTAAAAATTTTTTCTAGAGACATTTTTTCTAGAGACAAGAGCTTGCTATGTTGCTTGGGCTGGTCTTGAACTCCTAGGCTCAAGTGATCCTCCCACCTTGGCCTGGAATTAATAGGTGTGATCCACTGCGCCTGCACACATATATACTTTAATTTGCTTTTTTCACTTAATAATATATCCTGGAAATACTCCATAGAAGTTCATAGAGATCTTCCTTTTTCTTTTTTCCAGCTGCATAGTATTGTGTGCATGTGCCATGATTTATTCAACCAGTCTTCTGTGTTTCTGAAATTTTATGATTAGCAATAATTGTTCAATGGATAATCTCATGCATGTGTACTTTTGTATTGTTGAAAGTATATCATTGGCTGGGTGAGGTGGCTCATGCTTGTCATCCTAGCACTCTGGGAGGCCGAGGTGGGGTGGATCGCTCAAGGTCAGGAGTTCGAAACCAGCCTGAGCAAGAGCGAGACCCTATCTCTACTAAAAATAGAAAGAAATTAATTGGCCAACTAAAAATATATAGAAAAAATTAGCTGGGCATGGTGGTGCATGCCTGTAGTCCCAGCTACTCAGGAGTCTGAGGCAGTAGGATTGCTTGAGTCCAGGAGTTTGAGGTTGCTGTGAACCAGGCTGATGCCATGGCACTCTAGCCCGGGCAACAGAGTGAGACTCTGTCAAAAAAAAAAAAAAGTGTATCATCAAGATAAATTCCTAGAAATAGGATTGCAGGATCAAAGGATAAATGTATGCACAGTTTTGTTAGATATTGTTCCTCTCTATTGGATTTGCACCATTTTGCATTCCCACCAACAATCTGCAAGTCTCCTAGCTTTATGATTATATGAAAATATTGTTCCTGGTTGGGCATGGTGGCTTATGCCTGTAGTCCCAGCTCAGGAGGCTGATGCAGGATGGTCTCTTGAGCTCAGGAGTTTGAGGTTACAGTAAGCTACAGTTGCACCACTGCATGCTAGTCTGGGTGACAGAGTGAGACTTCTCTTTAAAAAATAAAAATATATTGTTCCTGATTTCTAGGCAATTACATTCTAAGAAGTTAGGTTAAAGGTTGGGAGTGGAAAAGAATTGGGGTGAAGGGTGCAGTGATGGAATAAAATATTTATAAAAATGAAACTTATGAATTTTTAACATTCTTAGCTTAATGGAAATATTATTTATACCAGTTGTCTTAAATAATTTTCTTAGGCTAGTTTTGTCTATTCTTTTGATAATTTGGATAGTACAAAACTGATCCGTGTTTGTTTTCTCTGTATACTTAGGGCTTCTTGAATTCCTCTGAGCTTTCTGGACTTCCAGCTGGACTTGGCAGAGAAGGTTCTCTCAAGGATCAGTTGGCCTTAGCAATTGGTGAATATTTATAAATATTTTGGAAACTGGAAATTAAAAACTGGATCTCTTGGTATCTTTGGTGTTCCTCTTTGTGTGCTCATATACATATGAGGGCCAGATAATATGAATGTGAGACGTGGTTTGTGTGTTAGACATTAGGGAACAGCAGGCATCCTGAAGAGCTCATACTCTGCTGAAGGAAGTGCCATTACCAAGCTGTAGCCAGTTGCTGTATCAGTGGAAATAGAGTCCTAGTGTCATCAGAAATTCTGAATTCTTTAAAAGAATTTAGATTTGTATGCAGAAATCTCATGGCTTTTAGCTGTTTGCAACTAATTAAAATTATTTTCATAACTGTGCCTACAAAACAAAGCATGCCTTTAAGCAGAGATGGCACTTTGACTTCCTGTTGACTATCTGTATTAGAATAGGAAGAATAGTACATTAAAGATTATTTCAGGCCAGCTGCAGTGGCTCACGCCTGTAACCCTAGCACTCTGGGAGGCCAAGGCAGGTGGATCTCTCAAGGTTAGGAGTTCTAAACCAGCCTGAGCAAGAGTGAGGCCCCGTCTCTACTAAAAATAGAAAATTAATTGGCCAACTAAAATATATAGAAAAAATAATTAGCCAGGCATGGTGGCGCATGCCTGTAGTCCCAGCTACTCGGGAGGCTGAGGCAGGAGGATTGCTTGAGCTCAGGACTTTGAGGTTGCTGTGAGCTAGTCTGATACCACAGCACTCTAGCCTGGGCAACAGAGTGAGACTCTCTCAAAAAAAGAAAAATTATTTCATCTTCATCATCACTTTATAAAGTGATCAAGGAAAGTTTAGGGGCACCATTTTTAGGAATTTGATCTCTCTTTTCAAAACATCTGGTCCTGAATTTGTGAAGATACATTCTTTTATAACCTACTGGCTATGGGAACCATATCTGGATCATTGTGGTTGGACTAGTAGGGATTTTCCTTTCTTCCTAAGTATCCTTGATGGAGCGAGGAAGAGAGGGATGGGGTTGGAGCTTGCTGGGAATTTATTCCTCATCTGCAATTTCCAGTCAAAGCATCAATTCTGTTTTTATCAGGTCATCTTGCAGTGTCTGTGATGTTTCAATGAGTCATAGTTGACAAACCAGGCAGACAGCTATGTATGGGGTTTATTAAGAAATTCTGGAAGAATTCGATATTTCAGCCTTGTCAGTTTCTGGGAATTAACTATTGGGTAGATGATTTGACCTATTTTAAAATTTGTTTTAGTTTCCAAATTCTCCCTTTTTATGACTGTTAAATGTAACTGTGGCTAATTTCAGGCATATTTGTGCAGACCCTTTTGTTCTCCTATATTTTCCTACCTTCTGGCTTATTTGGACTTCTTTTCTTTTTCTTTTTATTTCATCATATTATGGGGGTACAAATATTGTTAAGGTTACATATATTGCCCTTGCCCGCCTGCCCCCCCCCACCGTGTCAGAGTTTCACGAGTGTCCATCCTCCAGGTGGTGCGCATCGCGCTCATTATGTAAGTATAGCATCCTAAGAGAAAGGAGAATATCCGTTTTTTAGTTCTCATAAACAACTCTGAAAATGTTATCTTTTTATTTATGATGAGAGGAAGTTGAAACTATCAGATGACATGAGGTTTTGGATTTTCTGGGGCTTTTAGTTGTGGGCTTTTTCCTGATACAGCGGATGATCAGGAGTTGTGTCAGTCATGGTGGCATTCAGGAAGGATGCTAATTTGGTGGGGAAAAGCCCCTAATTGCTTTGGGCCAGATCTGAGTTTTAATTCCAGCTCTACCATGAATTTTTGGGTGGATTACTTAAGTACTCGAAGCCTAAGTGTAATGTAATAATAATAATCAGCATTTGAGTGCTCACTGTATGCCAGATACTATAGTAAATGAGTTTACATTTATTATTTATTTCTCCCAATAACCCTGAAAGGTAGGTAGTATCATCTCCATTTTACAGATAAGGAAACTAAGGCTTGATAAATTAATAAATGGGATTATGTCATTAAGTCACTTGCCCAAGATCATATAGCCATAAGAGGCAGAACTGAGACTTGAATCTGTGTGACACCATGGCCTATGTTTTATTTTTTTGTTTTTTTTGAGACAGAGTCTCACTCCGTTGCCCGGGCTAGAGTGCTGTGGTGTCAGCCTAGCTCACAGCAACCTCAAACTCCTGGGCTCAAACAATCCTTCTGCCTCAGCCTCCCGAGTAGCTGGTACTACAGGCATGTGTCACCATGCCTGGATAATATTTTCTTTTTCTTTTTTTTTTAGACAGAGTCTTGCTTTGTTGCCTAGGCTAGAGTGAGTGCTGTGGTGTCAGCCTAGCTCACAGCAACCTCAAACTCCTGGGCTCAAGCAGTCTTTCTGCCTCAGTCTCCGAGTAGCTGGGACTACAGGCATGCGCCACCATGTCTGGTTAATTTTTTGTGTATATATATATTACTAATATACTAGTTGGCCAATTAATTTCTTCTTTATTTTTTTTTTTTTTGAGACAGAGTCTCGCTTTGTTGTCCAGGCTAGAGTGAGTGCCGTGGCGTCAGCCTAGCTCACAGCAACCTCAAACTCCTGGGCTCAAGCGATCCTCCTGCCTCAGCCTCCCGAGTAGCTGGGACTACAGGCATGTGCACCATGCCGGCTAATTTTTTTATATATATATCAGTTGCAATTAATTCTTTCTGTTTTTATATAGAGACGGGTCTCGCTCTTGCTCGGCTGTTTTGAACTCCTGACCTTGAGCAATCCGCCCGCCTCGGCCTCCCACAGAGCTAGGATTACAGGCGTGAGCCACAGCGCCCGCCTGTTTTTTTTTTATTTAGTTCAAAACCAGCCTGAGCGAGACCCCGTCTCTACTATAAAAAAATAAAAAAATTAAACTGACCAACTAATTATATATTTAGAAAAATTACCGGGCATGGTGGCACATGCTGTAGTCCAGCTACTCGGGAGGCTGAGGCAGGAGGATAGCTTGAGCCAGGAGTTGAGGTTGCTGTGAGCTAGCTGAGGACACGGCACTCACTCTAGCCTGGGCAACAAAGAGAGACTCTGTCTCAAAAAAAAAAAAAAAAAAAAAAAGAAATGAAAACAGGAGTCAAATGTCCGAAGTCTGGTCTGCCTGGCCCTCTCCCCTCCTGCCCCCCCCAAGGCCCTCATCCCAGGATACCCCATCCCCCAGGCTGCCCATCCCGCCAGCTCATCCCCACTGGCCTCATCCCCCATCCTCAGGCCATCCCATCCCCCCGGCCCTATCTCCATCCCCAGGCTGCCCCATCCCCCCGCCAGCTCATCCCCACCGGCCCTCATCCCCATCCCCAGCCATCCCATCCCCGCCGGCCTCATGGCCCTCATCCTCCATCCCCACAGCCTCATCCCCCCATCCCCAGGCCGCCCATCCCCCAGGCTTCATCCCCCCATCCCCCAGGCTGTCCATACCCCACCAGCCCTCATCCCCCATCCCCCAGGACGCCCAGTCCCCCGACGGCCCTCATCCTCCCCATCCTTCATCCCCTGCCGGCCCTCATCCCCCCATCCCCCATCCCAGCCCGCGCACCCTAACCCTGTGGAGGGAGGTGGCCTAATTTCTTTCTATTTATAGTAGAGATGGGGTCTTGATCTTGCTCAAGCTGGTTTTGAACTCCTGACCTCAAGCAATCGCCGCTCGTCACCAGAGTGCCGGCTAATTTTTTCTATATATTTTTCTTGGCCAATTAATTTCTTTCCTATTTATAGTAGAGACAGGGTCTCACTCTTAATCAGGCTGCTTTCAAACTCCTGACCTTGAGTGATCTGCTTACCTCGGCCTCCCAGAGTGTTAGGATTACAGGCGTGAGCCACCTTGCCCAGCCTTCAGCCTATGTTTTTAAATATCAAGACTGCCTGGCATGTAGTTGGTACTCCATAAAGGTACTCTCCACTTCTTTCAACCTTTCCCCCACCCCCCGACATCCCTTTTCCTCTTTAACAATATCTGAAAATGATATCTCTCCATCTTCTTGCATATCTCGTGTAAATGGAGAGAGATTTTTTCCAACTTGGTTTCTTCTGTGCATAGTCTGGTACCACCACAGGCATCATATTCATTTTTGTTTTTGCTTTTTTATAGGGAAACTGGGAGAAAACCTGACTCTTAAACGAGCTGCATGGGTGAAGGTGCCATCTGGGTTCTACGTTGGCTCTTATGTCCATGGAGGAATGCATACTCCCTCCCTTCACAACCTGGTGCTGGGCAAGTATGGGGCCCTGGTTGTCTGTGAGACGTCTGAGCAGAAAGCAAACCTTGAAGACCTTGGCCGCCGCCTCGGGCAGCATGTAGTGGGCATGGCTCCTCTCTCTGTTGGCTCCCTGGACGATGAGCCTGGGGGAGAGGCAGAGACCAAGATGCTGTCCCAGCCTTACTTGCTGGATCCCTCCATCACACTGGGACAGTATGTGCAGCCCCAGGGGGTGTCTGTGATAGACTTCGTGCGGTTTGAATGTGGAGAAGGTGAAGAGGCAGCAGAGGCTGAATAGGTTCCAGAGACCTTTGGCCCAGGAGGAATGTTTATTTTTATTTCTGGACATCATTACAAAAGGAAGTTATTTCCTAAGCCTCTTCAAACTCAGAATTTGTTTTTCATTTGAATTTATAATGAAAGTACATAATTCATGGGTAAAGGTATTAAATAAAATAGTTATATGATAAAAAGAATAGAATTTTTTCCATGTTTGTATAAAACTGGGTTTAGCTTTTTTGTGCCTTTTTGTGATGTGTTTTAGAAAACAACAGGTGGGCCTTATTGATGCGACTGACCATGTCTTGGTGCCCATAATCAACGATTATGCTGCTGCTGCCTTCAACATGGATTTATTATGGTGTCCCTGAAATTTCTAACTCACACATTCTATCTTACTCCTTCTGTGAAATAGAACTCTTTTGTTCTGCTTTCACTGCGTGACACTTTAAACTATGCTTCTGCCATGGAACTTCCCCAGTTATATTACTTCTGCCACATGGATTTCTTTGGAATTACTGATTCAAACTTAAAGTTGTCTGGAAACTGTGGGTTCATTTATTCATGTCTGTGCCATGCTTTGAAGGCTTTCTGCAGTGGTATGCTGGTTCTGGCCTTATTTACAGAAATTAATGACACATGGCCCTACTTCTCTTTTGGATAATAGAGTGTGGGTGGGTACTGAGATTTCCCGGATAGCTGTAAGGCAGGTTTTCACATTCTTGCATCAGAAACTAGAATTAGAGTGGGCCAGTTATTCAGAGAGCTCACTAAACATTGCTTTACTTCCCTAGTACTGAAACTTTTCTCTCAACATAACATAAAATTACTATAATAGGTTGGGTGCGGTGGCTCACGCCTGTAATCCTAGCACTTTGGGAGGCTGAGACAGGAGGATTGCTTGAGCCCAGGAGTTTTCGAGACCAGCCTGGGCAACATAGTGAGACCCTTTCACTACAAAAAAATTGTTTTAAAAAATTAGCTAGGCATGGTAGTGCATACACCTACAGGACTGAGGCAGGAGGATTACTTGAGCCCAGGGAGTTCAGGGTTACGGTGAGCTATGCATTCCACTGTACTCCAGCCTAGGCGACAAGAGTGAGACCCTGTCTCAAAAAAAAAAAAAGAAAAAAATTATGAAAACATGCAAACCCCAAATACTGAAAAGAACTCCATTTGCTCATAACAGGTACTTTATTTGAAAAGTTAAAAATGTTCTGACACATAACAGATCTGGGCATTTGGATTTTGACCCTGGGGTATATGTGTGGTTCAACAATTTGCAGTTAAATAGATTTTAGAATTATTGATCTGAAAATTTAAAACAAATGTAGGTCCTGGCACAGTATTAAATTTAAGCTTAGTTTTTTGGTTACCTTTCTTTAGACATCATGCAGTTGTAGTGCTTTCTCCTGAGGCTTTAGCTAGAAGGCCACAAGACCCAAAAAGTGAGTAATTAACATTTTAGGCATGTAACAACCAAGAAATGCAAGGATGAGAAAAAAATGGAGAACATGCTATAATTTGCAGATTATTGTATCTAAATTAAGTAGCTGAATATCAGGCAGAAGTTGGTAGGTAAACTCTTTTCTGATATTGGCACTATCTCCTCTCTTATGTAGTCTTGCAGTAGGCATATATCTTCTTGCCTTAGAAAAGCCCCTTTTCTTTCTTCAGTTGGAGCTGTTTCCAGCCAGGCAGAGCAGCAAATTGCCCTCTTGTGATGCCAAACACAGACACAAAGTCCTGTTCAGAGAGGTAATTCTAAGAGAGAAAACAAAGTTTGTGGTTAGAAGGAAGACCGATCAATGCCAACAGAGGTGAGGAGAGTGGGCACAACTGGGAGTCCTAAGTAGGTGCTTGAATGGGGAAGTAGGAATGAATTTCTCAGAAACACTATAATGGACTTAAATTATTCATTGGAGAAGTGTTCTTCAGGTCATGGAGTCCCATTTTGGCCCGAGGAAGAAGCTTGCTGGATTCATGGCTCTCACAGCCCCAGCTAGTACCAGTTTCTTGCCAGAAGGCAACAAGTGGGTTATATATTATGGATGAATTACAGCATTAGATCTTGGCAGAATGGAGAACTAAATCAAATGATGGTTTTCCTTGCTTTATGCCCTTAACTACCATTTTTATCGAGAAATTTTCAAATGCATGATCAGGTGGATCTTAACTGAGACTATAAAATTCTTTTAACATTTATTTAATGTTGTAATGACAGTTTTGTATCCAAGTAAAGATTACTAAGATAGGGCCTCTGCTTTCAAGAAAGCTGGAGTCCAGATACTTGAGAATTAATTAGATAAGATGTTGTGGGAAATCTAAAGACCCTTCCCAAAACAGCTTCTTTAAGAGGAAAATGAATTAATTCATTCAACATGAAGATGTTAATTCTTTCACTTAGGGGGTGCCCATTATCTGTTAGGCACCATTTTTAGGTGCTGAAAACCTGAGGATATGGTAGTGAACAGACAGACAGGAAGGACAGACAGTCCTTCCTCTTTAGGATATTACTCGTGGGGGAGATAGACAGTGAACATGTATCAAGGGACTGCAGGAGGTAAGGGAAGCAGTGTTAGGATGGTCAGTGAAGGCCTCCCTAGGGAGGTGACATTGGAGCTGAGACCTAAATTGTGAGAAGGAGCTGGCTCTGTGATGATTAGAGAGGAAAATATTTTTTTCAGGCAGCAGTACTAGCAAGCCTAAAGGCCCAAAGGCTGAAATAAGCATATTCGGAAACAGAAAAGTAGCCACTGGATACGGGGTAGTAAGTGAAGGAGGGTAGTGGTACATGAGACAAAATTGGAGAGGTGGGCAGGGGCCAGATTGTGTAGGCTTTCTGATTCTTTTTTTAAATTCAGTGGGACGCCATCTGAGGTGTTTTAAACAGGACAGTGCCATCTGTTTTAAAAGATCCCTTTGGCCGTTGTGTGGGGAATGGATTGTAGGGATAGGCTTGGAAACAAGTTTGATTGCAGTAGTCCATGATGGCTGGACTAGACTGGCAGCAGAGAGATGGAGAGGAGTGGATAGAGGCCAGCTGGTAGATTGACGTAGGAGGTGAGAAAAAAGAATCAAGAAGGATCCCTGGGTTTTTGGGTTGAGCCACTGGGTAGCTTAAATGTCCATCGAGTGCCTATGATGTACCTGAACTGTCCTAGGCCATTTATTGAGGTGGGTGCTTTATCATAGAGAGCTCCGCTTACCACAGACACAGTTCCTTTAGCCACTAACCTCCTTTTTAGCAGGGTTCACATCCTCAGGCAGCTCCTGATTCTGGTTTTTCAGCAGAATTTCTATGGGGTAATATTTTGACTCACTGTCAGAATTCAGGGAGAGGGTGGTGTTCTTCATGTCCTAGGTAGGATAAGATAAGAATATAAACACAGGAGAATAGACTGTTCAGTGTCAGTGTGATTACAGTTGTGTGTATGTGCAATATTTAACATTCTGACTTAAACCACTTCACCCTTTGTAATCATCTTTCAGAACAGTGGTCCCCAAACCTAGCTGCATGTCATAATCATCTGGAATCAAAAACATTCAGATTTGGGGATCCTTCTTGGGAAAGCTGTTTCAATAAGTCTAAGGTGAGTCCTGTATATCCATTTTGGCATACATGCTGTGCCTAAATCTCATTTAAATATTGGGATCACATACCTTTTCTTGGCACTTCTATTTAGGCCCTACATTTCCAGTCTTTAAATGACTTCAGATTGAAGTCATACTTTTCTTAAATACAATTTAAAGACACTACATCAGCATTAGCTTTGGCATCTGAATTTGTAAAGCACAAAGGACAAAATTGCCAGGTGGTTTGAACACCTAATGCCATTTACTCATCCTGAGGTTAATGAGCTGCTGGATCCCTGGCCAGAGGCTCTGCTTCTTTTAACTATTAAAATAAGGGTAAATGATCTAAGTTTTTATGGACTTCGCTGTCAGAAACTGAGAAAAATATCTTTTGGCAAGACATTGTCTCTACAAAAAATGGAAAAATAGAACTACAGGTGTGGTTTTGCACGCCTGTAGTCCCAGCTACTCGGGAGGCTGAGGCAGGAGGATCCCTTGAGCCTGAGAGTTTGTGGTTGCAGTGAGCTGTGATAATGCCACTGCATTCTACCTGGGGCAACAGAGTGAGACCCTGTCTCAAAAAAAAAGAAAAGTAAAAGAAAAATCTTTTTTCTCCTTTTTTTGAGACAGAATCTCACTCTGTTGCCTAGGCTGGAATCCAATGGTACAATAATAGCTTGCTGTAGCCTTGAATTCCTGTGCTCGAGCGATCCTCCTGCCTCAGCCTCCCAAGTAGCTGAGACTACAGGCGTGTGCCATCATACCCAGCTAATTTAAAAATTTTTTAGAGATGGGGTCTTGCTATGTTGCCCAGGCTGGTCTTGAACTCCTGGACTCAAGTAATCCACCTGCATTGGCCTCCCAAAGTGCTGGGATTATAGGTGTGAGGCACTTGGCCCAGCTGAAAAATCTTTACATCAAAATAGACAACTAGAGTAATACTGAGAAGGACATGAGTTTTGCCTATGAGCGTCTGTTGCATTTGTTGTTTCTCGTTAGCTCTGGTTGCCTATGTAACTTGCTTCTCCAAGAGCAAACCCAACTCACAGCAGTGATCCGCATGATAGCAGCAGTATCTCCAAGCTCTTCTTTTAATTGTTCATATGATTTTCCTGCCTAAGAAGAGACAAGAAATACAGGATGAAATATTTCTTATAGAGAGGGACATCTTAGGCCTGGTCTGTATCTTCAGGAAAAGCAAAAGAGCTAGGGACTGAGAAGACATTTCAAGGATAAGTAAAAATGAAAATTCCCCTCCTGGGTCTATGCAGGGTTAAAGAAGGTGCTGGAGTGCAGTGGCATACATTCTTTGATGGTGCCCCTTCAGTCCTCCTTCCAAAATTTAAGAGAGAGCAGTTGACTAGGAGTCAGAAAACCTAGCTTCTTCCTGTTGTTTAACTGTGACTTTGGACAAATAACTTATCCTCTTAGCTTCCTTATCTGTAAAATGGAAACATAATACTTGCACTAGCTACCAGGACGGTTGTGAAGATCAAAAAGATGATGTGTACAGATACACTTTATAAACTGTTTATTACTTCACACTGCTTGTTGCTGAGAGAAGCTGTGAATTATAGACTTCTTGTTGAGGTAGGTGAAAAGAGAAGAAAAATAAAAAGCAGTGATTGAGACTAGGGGAAATGAGGTCCTGGTTCTACTCAGCCCTTGAATCAGTACCCTACCTTCCCACTGAGCTCTTAGTTCTCAGCTCCCTGGCAGTAAGAATATTTCCCCCATTCTCATTGTTCTTACGCTCCAAATGTGAGAGTCCCAAGCCAGGAACCAGCCTGTGAAGGTGGGGGGCTCAAACCCCTGTGTAATGATCAGGATTGGTGTGTCAGTGTCTCTGCCGCTGGGGTGAGTGTGCAGGTACTCCTGGGCTGTAGCAAGGGCCCTCTCCTTCTCTGTGGCATTAGCCTCAGCCCCAATCCACAAGAACACCTGTTGTGGTAGAGATTTAATATTTGTTAATGTCATTGTCCCAAAGACAAAGTACTGGGTCATACATACTACCCTATCTTTCCTCTTTGTTTTGTGAGCAATTCACAGCATCAGAAAACTTTCCCAGCCTAATTTGTTCAGCAGAGAGAAAGGTTTTCTCTTGATATTTATCATTTTAATTATAACATATATCTTCCAAATGTACATCTCCAAACCTGAGCTTTCTCTGAACTTCAGCTTCCTGGATCCAGCTTCTTACAAAACACCTCCTCTTGGCTGACCCTAAGTGCTTCAAATATAACACTCCTAAAATGTAGTTCTTCTTTTCTAAACTTGTATCTGTCTGAGCCTCTACTCTTGGTAAGTGGTATCCATCCAGTCACCTAAGGCAGAAACCTGGAAGTCATCCTAGAAACCCCCAATATCCAGTGAGTCATCAGGGCTGGCCAATCTTATCTCTTAAACATTTGTCAAATCTATCACCATCCCTCGCTCCCTAACCACTGCCCTTTTGTGGGCCCACAGCAGCTCTGACTTGACCATGACAGTAGTCTACTGACTGGTATACACTCTTTTTTCTCACCCTCATCCCTCTCCTGCATTTGCCAGGGTGATCTATCTAAAGTGCAGTCTGGCCATGTTACTTCATACTTTCCAGGATAAATGTTAAATTTCTTGACAGTGGTAGGTTAGCTCCATACCTACGTCTTCAGCTTCATCTCTAGGGTGCTCCTTATCCTACATTCTGATAATATTTCATGCTTTGCTTTTCTTATGCTATTTCCTTTGCCCAGAATTCCTTCTTCATCCTTTTTTTACTGATTAATGCCTACTGATCCTTTGAGATTCAGCCTGGGAACTCTCTCTTCCAGGAGATCTACTTTGAGTCCCTAAACTATGTTGAGTGCCCCTAATTTGTGCTCCCTTGGCAGCTTGTATATACTTCATTGTAGTAAAATGATGTTTCTCTGTCCAGCTCCCTCCATTAACCTGTAAACTCAGAGTAAGGTCCCTTTACCTTGGTGACACCCACTTAGCACAGTGACTGGCATGGACAGGTGCTCAAAGCTATGGCTGAGCCAAACTCAAGAAATGGCATGTGAAGGAGGGGTTGCCTTGAACATTTCCCATTCATCCACCTTTGCTCCCTAAAAGGCCCATATTCTCTAAATTTGGAGCCTGTTGTTATTGATTCTAAGATACAGAAGTACATGATGATGGGATTGCCTGATTTTCCCAAAGCAATGTGGGAAAATTCCCAGGATGGTGAATTTTAAACATCATTCTGTTCTCTACAACCCTGGCAAAAAGCAGGCTCTTCCTTTAGGCACCACTGACAAGTTTGATTGACTTGGGGATAGTCCCGGGCTACCCTGGGTCTATTTTTGGGTGGGGATGCTATATAAAAACAGCCTAAACTATGGGAATCTTTGTCATTTTTTTCTGAGTTCTATGGCTAGGTCTTACTTGGTCCCAGGTATCTAGGAGCATCACATCACTTGGGTTCAGGTCATCCTGAGTGAAGTCTGTGATTTCAGTGACAATGAACCGGCCAGTCTTATTGGAACATTCAAAGAGACGAGACTGGACATCCAGGATTTCCTGCTGTAATCTGCAATACAGTCCATGTAGAGGCACTGAGCTGCTTGGAACTAGTTTGCAAACTGAAAGGGAGATTAGGGTTTGTGCAGTTCATAAGCCTGGGAGGCAGGAAGAGCCAAGAAAAGAGACCTGCTGTGTTCCCATACCTTTTATCATTGGCATAGGGAGTTTTCCCTCCCAATAGGTCCCAGAACTCGGCTGGCTCCTGGCCCTCGGCCACAGTGTTCTCGGTGCCGTCACAGAGAAATCCGGCCAGTTCCTTAGCCATTGCCCGCTCGTCCCCGCTAGACCCCTGAGAGTGGGGTGAAGAGAGCACAGATGTTAGTTCCCTGGGGACACGATGTGGGAAGGGAAGCATTTGAGACTAATTGCCAGTGTGGCCAGGATCAGCTCCCAAGCCCTCAGCATGGGCATGTAGATAGGTTTATTCTAGTGCTGGCAAGGCAGAAGAGGAAAACAGTGTGGTGGCAAAAAGCAGGACTAGACTGAAACACAGGGAGTGTTGACAAGAGTCACCTTTGTTTCACCTTGAGTTGGAGTTTTAACACCTGCTTTTTTTTTTTAGAGAAAAAATTTAAACCTACTTTTAAACTCCTTTTGGCGTACAGTTCTAAGAGTCTTGACAAACAGAATCATGTTACCACCACCACAATAAAGATACAGAACAAGGCCGGGCGCGGTGGCTCACGCCTGTAATCCTAGCACTTTGGGAGGCCGAGGCGGGCGGATTGCTCAAGGTCAGGAGTTCGAAACCAGCCTGAGCGAGACCCCGTCTCTACCAAAAATAGAAAGAAATTAATTGACCAACTAAAAATATATATACAAAAAAATTAGCCGGGCATGGTGGCGCATGCCTGTAGTCCCAGCTACTCGGGAGGCTGAGGCAGTAGGATCGCTGAGCCCCGGAGATTGAGGTTGCTGTGAGCCAGGCTGACGCCACGGCACTCACTCTAGCCTGGGCAACAAAGTGAGACTCTGTCTCAAAAAAAAAAAAAAAAAAAAAGATACAGAACAGTTTCATCCTCACTCCCCTGCCCACATTCTCTGGAGCTAATACCCCTTTGGAGTCATACCCTCCCCGAATCTTTAACCTCTAGCAGCTACTAATTTGTTCTCCATCACTATGGTTTTGCCTTTTCCTGAATGCCACAAATTGAACCACAATATTTAGCCTTTGAGTCTGGCATATTTCAGTTAACATAATGCATTTGAAGTTCATCTGTATTTCATCAGTGGTTTATTCCTTTTTATTGCTGAGTAGTATTTCATTTTATGGATTATGACTATTTATCCATTTTCTAGTTGGATTATCTCCAGTTTTGGTGATTATGAGTAAAGGTATTATAAACATTTGTGTACAGGTTTTTGTGTAAAGATAGATTTTTAATTCACTTGAGTAAATACCAAGGAGTAGGACTGCTGGATCATATGGTAAGTGTATGTTTAACTTTATAAGAAACCATTAAACTGTTTTCCAAGTGCTGTGCCGTTTTGTAGTCCTACCAGCAATGAAGGTTCCTGTTGTTCCACATCCTCATCCACATTTGATACTGTCAGTTTTTTTAGCCATTCTAATAAATGTGTAGTGGTATCTCATTGTGGTTTTCATTTGCATTTCCCTAATGACTAATGATGTTGAGCATCTTTTCCTATTCAATTCTCTTTTATAAAACAATTTTAGTGCTTTTTAATGCACTAATGCAATATGAATTAACAACCTCATATTTTTAATATTTTTGTTCTGTGTTAGTGCCTGTCTGTTACAATCTACCAGCTCACGTGGGAAGATTGACTTATCCAGGCTCCGTCTATGTAGAAGTTCATGGGATGTCTCCTGAGTTTAAGCAGGGCTGTCAGTGAGTTTTTAATTGGAGCCTGATTGTGGGGAATGTTGATGCTCCCATTGACAGTTCTTTAGGAAGAAGTCTCCTCTTTTCAAGGACTATTCCAATCTACTTTTTAGTTCCTTTGATCTTGACCTTGCTGATAGGGGTGGAGGGGTATGAGTCTGGGCTCTGAAGGCCTGGTTTGACCACTGGGCCCAGCCATCCTACCTTGCCATACCACAGGTAGTGCTCCGCCTGAGTTTTCAGTAGAAAGACGTCATTGGAATTTAGGGAGGAGGCAAAGGCTGAAACCTCCACTGCTTTGGTGTTAGATTTGTCATTTCCTTGAATCTGGAAAAGTCTTACTGGAGGGTCAGGCTCGGCAGTTCCCTTCCTGGAAGTCCCACCCTAGAGAGAAGAAGAAAAGCAGAGTCCATATCTAAGGAGCACATGTGAACTTTTAGATGGACTAGCTGTTGTGGGGAATGTGGATGTTTTGATACCATCTTTTCCCTTGAGGGACTTCTAGGCTACCTGGAAGGGTGAGGGTGAGCTGGAGTTATGGTACCAGTGGTATTAGCTTTCATTTTGAAAACTTTATCATATGCCAGGCCCTGTGACTGATGTCTTACCTACATCATTTCATTGATCCTCATAATAGCTTTATGAAGTAGGTGTTATTATCCCACAGTACAGATGAGGAAACTGAGACATAGAAACCTGGCTAACAAATGACAAGACTAGGACTTGACCCCAGACTTATGTGATGCTAAATATGTGACATTATGCATTGCCTGGTAGTGCTTCAGCCAGGGCTTTATGGAAGAAGTGAGGCTGGAGTTTGAAGGGGCATGTTCACAAGGGGAGGGGCTTGGTATGGCACAGTACATGTGAGGCCAATGAGGAGACCCACTGCATAGCTAACTGGAGTGGAGGGTACAGGTTTGGGAGCTGAGGATAATGCACCTGCACAGGTAATATGGGTCAGATTATGAAAGGCCTTGGACATTAATTAGACAGTGGTTTAGACTTGAAATCCTAGGCGCTCAGGATTCACTGAATATCTTAGAGAGATCAACCCCTTTCTTTTCTGTGTCTAATCCAAGCCTTGCTCCCCACTCCAGCCCTCCTGTCTTCTGCAGTAGCCACCTGCTAGTTTGTTCATTCTGAGCATTTCTGCTCACGGTGTAATTTATCTGAGGATCCTTACCTCAAAGATAACTAGCTTCCCCTTGAAGATGGCCATGAAATGGCGTGGCTCCTTCCCCATGCTGACTCGAACCTGCACAGCGGCCCCATCAAACTGCCGATCTACCTCCACTGCCTGGTATGCTGAGGCTGCCAGCTCATCCTGGGAGGTGTGGCGGCCCTGCAGTGTTGAGAGGGGAGTGATGGACCCTGCTTCCCCATCCTGGCCCAGTGGGAAGAAGCAGCACCAGAACCCAAAGCTGAGAGTCTGTGCCAGGCCTACCTGCCAGATGTACAAGATGTAATGTGGCTTCCTGTTCACCTCGTATGTGTAAAGAACCAGATAGCAGTCTCCGCCATAGAAGAAGCCATACCACTGATGTTCCACAGGGACCAGCTCCAGGTTCTCAATTCTCCAGACCTGGGCATAGAAGAAGACACAATTTCCCAGAGATGGGAGGCCCTGAAGGGGACTGGGCCGTGCTAAATGGAGAACCGAGGTGGAGAAGGTGCTAACATCCACTCCAAGTCTCCTTTGCCTTCTAGTTCTCGCCCAGTGGTGAGGGCTCATCAGATTTGCATGATTTGAATCCTGAGAAGAACTTGGTTGTCCTGGTCACGTGCATTCCATCACAGCTCAGTCTTTGCAGACTGAGCGATGATTTGACTATGTCTGCTAGGTGAGTTATTGAAAGCACATTTAGGGATGTGCCTTTTACTCACCTGAAAACTCTGCAGACTTGCAAGACTGTCAGAGACTACTTTGAGATCCCAGAGGGGAAAAGGAAAGCAAAGCAGACATAGAATCACCTGTACTCTGTCTTCCCCCCCTTCCCAGCAGGAACAGCCAAGAGGGACAGTCTTACCTCAACTTTTCCATTGCCATCATCGACCATTCTTTCCTGGGCAGCTACCTCTGGCTTGGTGTGCAATAGTGTCACATCAAACTTATCCTGGAAAACTGTAGCTGCAGGGAGGGGGTTGGGAAAAGCCAAGTAAGTGAGAAGCATCTGTACCTGCCTTTGTAGAGAGTCCCAGCATTGAGAGGACGATCTGGGGGTAATCTCACCGATTCTGCCAGTGCTGAATGTTTTCCCCAGGCCCACAGTCTGGTCCTTCACTGACCACTTCTGGAACAGCTGCTTGAACATGGCTGACTCAGCACCATCATTGACGGTCTCCACATTGGTGCCGCTGGGGTAACCCTTACTCTTGATGAAGCCCTGCAGACCCACCATCCCCAAAGGCAGGTCAGTCGGAATACACTGACTTTGCTTGTCTGGTAATTCACTCATGGAAGCCGGTTAGTAGGACTCCCCTCTGGGAGAGTCAAATTCTAACTGACTTCTGTCTAAGGACCAAGTTATCTGCCTCAAAAAAATGGCTGAGTGGAACAATTTGGCATCTCTTCATTGGCCTATTATGATTATCAATTTTTTTTGCAAGATCTTCTATTCTTTCAGCACTTATGTGCTCTGCTGACTTTGTGTCACATTTGTTTGCTGATTTATTGCTTTGTTAGTGCATCTTTGTTCATCTGCATGGGTCTGCACGAATATCATAGGCATCTTGAGGACAGGGCCATTAACCTTGATATGTGATATCCCTTTTGATAATAACAGGCACCTTTTATTGAGCAGGGAGTGTGTGCCAAGTACTGTTCCAAGTGCTTTACAAATGCTTTTTAATCCTTACAACAACCCTGGGAGATGGGTATTATTATCCCCATGTTAGATATGAGGAAACTGAGGCTCAGAGGGTATTACGTAGTCTTCCCAGAGCACTCAGCTGGAAAAGGCAAAACCTGGCTTTGAATCCCAGTTTGTCTGATTTTGAAGTCCACATATGTAAGTGCAGTGTTATAGGCTCAAGTACCTAGTAGGGCGCTCTGAAGTGACACATCCAAAGGGTTATTGGCAGAATTACTTGGACAATATTGCACATCTATAGCTCCTACCAGGGCTTTAGACATGGCCGCCTGCTTCTCAACCTTCGTGGCTCCTTTTCCTTTCCATACGTAGATCTTGGTTCCATTTTGGTCCAGTATGTAGCAGTCCTGAAGCAGTCAGGGATAAATGTGGTTACTGCTGCTGAAGACTTTGCCTGGGGTCTGCTTCTGAAGTCAGGTCTGGCTACCCTGAGCTAAGCCACCCAACCTCTACTTACATCATGGCTCAGTAAGTCCTGGACGAGAGGCCTCTTCGCTACCTCTGTGACTGCCAGCTGCCCACCTGAGTCTGAGACACTAGAGAAAGGGAGAAATTAGCCTGTGCCTTTTCTTCTACAAAGCATCTTGTAGTCAAGTTGATGTTTTCCTGGCTTTGTTTTAGTGTGGAGTTTCTAGGTAGAGTTTGACTTCTTAAGACAGACATAGCTTGAACGCATACAAGAATGTGTGCATTGTTCTCTGGAGAAGATTTTTGTCTTTCAAACATCATCTCTTCCACATCCCTGGGCATGTGTAGACCAGAATAAAGGAAAGGTCTCCTTAAGAGATCAGGAGAGTTGCTAACAAGAACAGAAGGTAGCTGCCTCTTTGAGTAGGGGATTTCCAAGCTCCTTCTTGGAGCTGCATTTGAAAAGGACTGAGAAGAAAACCAGACGCCTACACCCAAAACAAAGAGCTATGCAGAGGTGGTTGGTGTTCTAAGGGACTCATTCCCCTCACCTGCACTTCCAGTCAGCAGCTGGGTTTAGCTACTCACTGATACAACGTGACATTTGATTTCTGCTGTTGATCTATGATCTCATCAGGGACTGCAGGCTTGATGATGGAACGTCGGCCAAGGGTATCCTGAAGGACTTTCATCAGCCCGGGGCTCTCTGCCTCCTTGTCGCCCTCGATCACTCCTATTTCAGCACGGCCCCCTCGCTCCCTGTCTCGAATGTCCTTTGCCAGAAGCATAGCCTGTCAAAGAAGCCCAAGGAAGCACTCAGCTCATCTGGGACCCCTTTTTGGCTTTGAGGGGAGCAGCCTACATCCCAGACACAGGAGTTATTCCAATGCTGAGGATTGCAGAGCAAGTCACAAACACACTCGGCCAGTCTCCAAGACAGATGCTATGCAAAGGTAGGGGTCCACCTTGATTTGGGGACAAGAGCCAGCATGGACGGAAGAAGAGAAAGGCACCTGAGATAGTGCAAGCCCCATGACCAGGCCTGAGGGAAAGGAGAGAGGCTAAGACTGGGAAAAACCATGCCTTCAGGCGCTCCCCGCTGGTGCTCTCCCTGCCGTTCCACTGAATGATGACCTTCCCAAGGTCCAGCAAGAAGACATCACCGCGGTTGAAACTGTCCCAGCTCATTTCCACCTGCAAATGAGAGGTACATATTGTTCAGGAGGAATTCTTAGGTGCCAGGTGGAAAAGTCCCGGGCCCAGGACGGACACTGCACAGGACTTACCTCAGTAGCCCTGATGTTTCTCCTCCCCTTCACATGTAGCAGTCGCTTCACATCGTAGGTGTTGGTCTCCACGTGCTTCATTCCAGAGGCCACACCCCCCTTCTTGTAGCTGAGGGAACATCCATTCAGTTATTTGTTGAGTTGTGACTGCACGTATGCAGCCTCTGCCCATGTGGTGCCGACAGTAAATCAGCAGGGTAAATGCAGATGATAGTAGCCGCTGCCCCACAGACAGACTTGGCAGCTGACTTTCTGTTAGAGAGGTCAGGGCAGTCTTTTCTCAAGAAGGAACATTTGAGCTGAAATACTACAAGGATAAGGAACCAACAACCAGAGGAATAGTGCTCCAGGCAGAGGAAACATCAGCAATAAAGACTGCAGCATGGAAGAGCTTGTTTTGTTCTAGAAACAATCTGAGTATCAGTATGCCACAAGGAGAGGGGCACAAGTTGCACAGCAGCAGAAGCATTAATGACACCATGGCTGTAAGAGCACCCACCCCAGGAGTCAGCTCTCCTGCCCCGCACTCAACCCAGCCCAGCTTCGGAACTGGGTGTCCTGCACTTTAGGGGAGTGCTGAAGGGAACCCCGGAGCAGAGGGGCTTTGTCCTTGGGCTCCCCAGTGACTCAGTGTGGGGTTCTCTGCCCAGGAGGTCCTCAGTCAGGGGAGACTGCCAACCTGCAAGAAGCTGGCCTTGCCCAGCCTCAGAATTCTCAAGCTCATTGGAATTTCTCTTATGTTTTTAATCCCAAGTGCAACGTTTTAAGTAAAACTTCTCAGTTCATGGGACATTATCACCACTGGCCTTTACAAGCCCCCTCTCTTGTGTTTTTAAGTGTCTGTGCTCCATTTCGTCTACATGCCTTACTCCCATTCCTTCCCCTACCCCAGGCTTCCATCCTAACAGTTTAATGTCTCTCTTTTATTTTCATTCTGGTAAAATGTGTCCTGTTGTTTTTGTTCATGTATTTTTTTTTTTTTTTTTGAGATAGTCTCAGTTTGTTATCTGGGCTAGAGGGCCGTGGCGTTAGCCTAGCTCACAGCAACCTCAAACTCCTGGGCTCAAGCAATCCTGCTGCCTCAGCCTCCCAAGTAGCTGAGACTGCAGGCATGTGCCACCATCCACGCCTGGCTAATTTTGGTAGAGATGGGGTCTCGCTCTTGCTCAGGCTGGTCTCGAACTCCTGAGCTCAAATGATCCGCCCGCCTCAGCCTCCCAGAGTGCTAAGTTACAGGCATGAGCCACCGCACCCGGCCTATGCATGTATTTTTTAAAACAGAAATTGGTATTCTATTATATATCTCAGTTTGCTGCTTTCTGTGTGTTTCTGTATTATATATCTCAGTCTGCTGTTTCTGCTGTGTTCACTATGCACCATGTTAGTGAGGTCTGTCCGTGTGTTAGGTGTGTGTCTAGTCTGTTGCTTCTGGCTGCTGCATAATACTTGTGCGCATGTCCAGGCTTCCAGTGATGGACACCTGGGTCACCTGCAGCTTCCTACCATCACTAATGGTACCGCTGTGGACATTCTGGTTCTTGGGTCCTCATGGACCTGGGTATGTGAGGGTTTCTTGAGTTATACACCCAGTATCAGGATTTGCCTGAGTGGCACTGACTACTCTCTAGAATGCTGTGCTAGTTGACACTCCCACCAGTAGGGCACAAGGGTTCCTGTTTCCCTAGAGTCTCACCAACACTTGGTACTACCCAGCTTTTTAATTTGTGCTAATCTAGTAGGTAGAAGTGATAGCTTTGTTTTGATTTGCTTTCCTCTGATTACTTTCTTCATATGCTTATTGGCCCTTTGGGTTTCCTCTTGTGTCAACGGCTGTTTCTGTCCCTGCCATATGCATCACTACTCACATGATGCCTTGCTTAAAGTAGCCTCGGAAGGTGTCAGACTCATGGTACTGGACCTCTCGGTGCTGCACGGGGCTGCCTCCCAGGTAGTCGTCCAGCTGGGTGGTGTAGATGGCCGCACAGGTCTGCTCATCCTGGGAGGAGTCCTTCCCGATCCAGAAGTGGATGTCCTGGGAGAGGCTGCTGCCCACTCTCCGGGTCTGGTATGCAGCCAGAGAGAACGGGTCAGGGGCCAGCTCAGCTCCCCTTTGCTGCTGGCCCTTCCGGCATGGAAAGAATGCAGCATACAGTGGCTTGTGCCCTGTCTTTGGCAGGCCTGTGCCCTCTTTCTCCCTGCAGTGGGTGGTGGAGCTGCCCCAGCCCCTGTGCAGACCTGGGATTGTGGCTCAAGCTTTGACAGCCAAAATTTCTCCCCACATTTGGGGAAAGTTGACAGCTTGTTGTTCCCCGAATACATGGAGACAGTGGGGATCTTTTCTGGCCTGTAGGTTTCCCTCACAAACCCTCCAGCTCCCCTGCACTTGCACAGCTGGCACAGTGCTGATCTGCACTCCTGCACGGCCGTCAGCACCGTTCACGGGAGACGGGAGACAGTGTCTCCCCCACGAGAGTGAGCACTTAGAGGCCGGGACAGGCCTTCCTCCACACCACTTTAACATGGGGCCTGGGTCCCAGAGGCAGAAGTGCTGCTCGTGGGCGTCTGCTGAGGTTCAGACTGAGGACCCTACCCACACCCTCTGGTGCAAAATTAAAACCCCAGGCCTAAGGACAGTCAAACTGGAGGTCTGCTCTGCACAGCACTGAGGAACAATTGCGACAGATAGCAGGGACCCGATTACCTTCCCTCACCAGTGGATGTCCCAGTAGAGCCCAAGAACTGGCTCTCAGGGGAGCCGCTTGCAGGAATGGGGAAGATGGTGCTCACCGAGAGGATGACGTAGCAGTCCCCCTCATAGAAGTTGCCGTGGCTGCTCAGGGGCACCAGTGCCAGCTCCATTTTCTGGAAAGACAAGGTGTATACAGGCTGCATTCTCTCCTTCCTTCCTCCTTGACAAAACTCTCTTTTCTCTCCTTTGACAAGGTGGTTGAAGAGAGGTAAGGAGATGTTCCCAGTGGCCTTACAGGGCGAGGCAGCCAGCCACAGATTGACATAGCCCCCTCTGGCTTCTGCGAGCTCTGTCTGCAGATCCGAATCTGAGTCCCTGTCCTGGTCTCCTTTACCCTGTTCTCCTCTCCACTTCCTGTGTGGTCTTGCTATACCGTGGGGGTCTTATGAGCCACTTCCATTGCTTTGCAGGGAAAAGAGTGGGATATAAACTACCAAGTAAATCCCTCCTATGAGCAGTTGTGCCAGCGCCTTCAACACTGTGCTCCCAACCATGACCACTGGTGCTGGCCAAGGCTTGTGTGGGAAAGAACAGCAAGATTCTGCGGGCCATGGGAGGCGAGGAGGATAACGACATTTGGAGAGTACAAGCAGTCTGCAGGGCTTCATGCCAAGTGTCTCATATTTAGAGTCTGGGTCAGGGCCCTGATTTGTCCCTGCATGTATGGCTTGTCCCAGGAAGGCCATCCATACAGTCTCAGCTGTAGATTTTCGTCACTCTTTCCAAGTGAGGGAAACCTGCAGCTGTACTTGTGTGCGTTCTATGTAAAATGTATGTATTAAATGAAATAATATTAAATATATCACAATTTTTGTAACTCTTTTTTAGTACATATTAGTTTTTAAATAAACGGGAGTCTCACAGTCTCTGAGAGGCTTGCTAAAGAGCTGTGACTCCCCGTCCTAGTTGAGAATAGTAAAGTGAGGCATCACCTCTGGGTTTTATGCAGCAGCAACTCATTGGCCTCAGAGCACAGTAGTGGTGGAGGGGGGTCCTCACAACTGGCAGGTGGAGCTACCCCGGCCAGTGTGGTTCCCAGCTGTGGATTGCAGGGACCCAGAGGGGCTGAAGCCCAGGTGGAGAAGGGATGAGCAGTGCCCCATCCGTTCCGTGCCCTCCCACATCTTCCCATGCTTTGTAGGAGCCCAAGTGCCCTGGGAAGACATGTTCCATTTCTCTGATGGAAGCAGCAACGAGTCTCCTGGGTGGGTCCCACCTATCTTTCCAGGGCATTGACTGGAAGTGCAGACTCACTGAGCAGATGGCTAGATAAAGGACAAGCTTATTTTTGCTTAGAGCCCTGCTCTCCAGGACTAAGAGTGCTTCTCCCACCTACCACCCACTGCTGGGAGCACCTGGGAGGGGTCAAGGATGCAAAAAACGTCCATTTGATGCTGACTCTCACTGTTCTCAAACCACTGGCTCAGGTGTGCTGGAGGGCTGTCTTCTAGCAGCCCTGGCTACCAGACCCTGCTCCCATATGCCCGTGGTCAGGAATAAGGCGTGCCTTCAGCCCAGCTCACCTCGATTCTCCAGGTGATGATCCCAGGGTCGTTGCCCACAGCCCTGAAGGCGCTGCTCAGAGACATGGTGCTTGTCTTCCCAGGACTGAAACATCACAGAGCAAGAGGGAAGATGATGCCTTCCACAGTAGGCATCAATTCAGTTTTTCTTCTAAGTCACTTCCCAATCTTTTGTCACCCATCTTGCCATGTCCTTGGGTGCGTCCCTGCACCATTTCACAATGATGGAGGTAATGCCCTGTCCAAGTACACATGTAAGCCTGGCTGACCTGGGTGTCCCTGCCCCCACTGCAGGTTCTGTTTTCCACCTGTCACTTCCCCATTAAGAGCTCTGGTAACAGCCACGATTACTTACCAAAGGGGTGATGAATATGTTAAGCCCTGTGTTGATTCACTTTGCATATGTTATGTCATTTAATTCTCAGGTGAGTGTTATTTTCTTCAGCTTACATTGCATTAAAGTTGAGATTTAGGAAGATTAAATAACTCACTCAAGGTCATGCACTAGAATGAAATCCTTACCTGATCCTAAAAGCTGTGCTTCTGGGCACTTCATGTACTATGACCCTTCCTAAACCTATCTAAATTCAGTGGCACTTGGGGCAGAAAAGCTGGTCAAAAAAACATTTCCAAACTGAGTTGTCTTCTCTCACTCTCATTCCCTCTAACTCTTCCCAGATTCCCTGCTTGCGAGGTTCTCTCCACAGTTAACTCTTTGGCCTACGTTTGGCCTTCTCTTTCAGCTTTTACCTTTTTTTTTTTTTTCAAGTTAACTCTCCTAAAACTCAACCCTTCCTGCTTTTGTCATATGACTAATATATTCCCTGTGGCTTCCAGAAACAAAGGGAAAGTAAAATGGCAGGGCCAGGCCTGGGACAAACAAGCAAAATAGCAGCTGGGAAAGGCAGGTGTGGCCTGGTCTAGCCCAGGGCAGATGGCTTCCTCGCCCACCTCCTAGCTGACTCAAGCTCGTCTGTGGATGAGTCGCTTTCAGAGAACTCAGAGGTCTCCAGTTCCTTCGGGACTGAGAAAGGCAGTGTGGGGAGAGGGAAGAAGTGGCAATGAGAAGTCCGTGTGGATCGTGCACCATCTGCATTCAAGGCAAGTACTGGGGTTATTAAACATGTACACACACCCAAGGTCATGTAGAGGCTTCATATAATTAAAATGCCTGCCTGGTTCCTGCTCTCAAGGAGCTTACAATCTGATGATATGAATAACTAATGAATGCTGAATTAATTTCTCCCAAGAGGCAAATGAAAAAGGATGGGATTGATGGGTTTACAGGGATGTAAAAAAAAAAAAAAAAAAAAAATCACCCAGAAAGGACTGAATGGATTTTTGCTATTTGGGGTCATATTGTGCTTGTTAAGAGGAGCATGTCTGACCGTTCTTTTCTTGAGCCTTGATGGATGAAGCCAGGTTTGGAGAATGGGCCATTATCTAGTATGGACTTTGGCAAAAAAGCAAATTCTCTTTGTCTCCTGCTATAGCAGGGCTAAAGCAGGGCAGTGACGGGGAGCGGCCAGTGTTTGAGGATTTAATTTGATAACTTGCACTGCCCCACCCTTTGCTGCTCAGTATTGCCAGGAAATGTTTGTTCCGTTTTTCTTCAGACCCTAAATTTCAGTCGTTAAAAGCAAATGCCATGGCTAAACTAGGGGAAGGGGACAAGGCCCAGTGAATTCATTTCTTAGAGGTAGATTAGTAGAAGTGTCAACCTGGGAAAAGCCAAACCAACTGGCATTAATTAAGACTGTGAGTCTCAGAGGCTGAAAGCTGTCCTATTTCCCAGCAGGAACACAGGAATTGAGAAAGCTCACTGAGCCAGGGACCCCAAATGCAGAAGATATGTCCCTTCCTGCCACACTGGAACACCCAGAAAACTTAATTCTGATATCAAAGTCCCCCAAAGCAGGTTCTCTCTCTCTCATCCCTAAGTCCTAATTTATTCAGTATCCTTTGGGAGGACTGCAGAATCCCTTAGAGTGGGTCACTTTTGAAATTCCAAGGTAAAAGCCAGTGGCCTTTAATTCTCACAGAGATGCCCTTACAAATGGACGCCAAGCAGAAGGAGCTGGTTTTAACTTCTGCCTTGCCCTGCACCTAATCTTTAAGGAGAGATAGGCGAAAGGGGTCTGCTCTATCTTTTCCAGCTTTTGAAAATGTGCCCTATCTGTTGAGTTGTCTCTAAGAAGAATCTCTCTACTTCTCAACAGAAAGTTTGGAAACTGTTCAGATTCCTCGTTCAACCCTTTAAAAGCCTCATCCCAGAAGACAAAGCCAAGAGAATTGCAAGCTTCTGTTCCTTTCATTTCTTCATTCAGTAAGAATGAACAACTGACATACCCCCCTAAACCAGAGACCTTACCTTGCCTTCTTGCTCACCAGTCTTCCCAATTTTCCTGGTGAGGAAGCAGCAGCAGTATGCGAGAACACCCCAAAGTGGAGGCTCCAGGTCCTGCGGCCGTAGCTTAGTGATGGCTGTACAGACACCGCATTATATTTGCTTGTGTTTGCATCTTAACTGCATTTTCCTAGTCCTGGCCAATCACAGCCACCCTCGCACTGGGCTTGACTTATTCAAACCAGAGGGAAAGCTTTATCTGTTCCTATTCAAAACAGCAAAAACAAGAGCAGACTTTTAAAGGCTTCTTTTCTCTTTTAACTTCAGTGCCACGCCCTGATCTAATTGATTTTTAAAAAGTACACAGCCCATCAATAATGTAGGAAAGAGGGTGGGAGGATATGAAATTTGCCATATTGTAGATATGGATGCATTACACTGATGACAGGAGGCAGAGGCTGGAGCAGCCCCGAGTGCCTAGGATGTCCAGGTTGCAAGAGCCTCTCTGAGAAGCTTCTGGGCATTTCTCAGAGGGAGGGGAAGTCTGGGAGAGGGGCCAGGAGAGTTATTAGGCCATGCTGTTTTGCTTATTGGAGGTCTCCACTAGTCATACATCAATCCAATCAATATTTGAGTGCCTACTATGTGCCAAGAACCATGCTGGGCTCTGAATTTCAGGGTTCTTGGTTTGGGAGAATCAGTGAGGGGCACAGAAGAATCAAGACTCCAATTCCCTTAGGGCTTCTAGTTCATGCCCAGAAGTCAATAGGACACCAAGCATATGCTTGTTAAGCACCTGGATGGCAATACCTGGATGGCAATGGAGTTGAACACAGCCAGACTTGTGTAACCTTGAGCAGAAGCCTGGTGCCAAATCTGCAGCTGGTGCCCCAGCTGAGTGCAACAGCTTGCTCAGCCTGGGTTCGATGGCTTCATCTGACCAAAGTAGAAGGGTGGTGCCCACCAAGTGCCCGAGTGAACAACAGCACAGTCAGGAGGCAGTTCTCATTCCTGGATAGGTTTTTTAAACCCACTTTTATTAATTAATTGTAAGTAATACAAATATTCCAAAAATATAAACAGACACTTAATGGCGTCCTACATTTCAAGTTTTTGAATACAACAAATTTATCAAACCATGAATCTGTAAGCAAGGTAGTCAGAATCCCATAGCACAGTCACAGTGGGAAGCAGATCCCCTACCCTCCAAATGGCATCTTGAAGGGGCAAAGCGGCACAAGATGGAATGTGTCAAACTTGGGGTAAATATAAGCAAAGAAGCTCACGAGGCCCAAAGAGGAGGGTCTGTATCTAGGGGCAGGCCCTGCAACGTTAAAGGAACATTAAAGGAATGGGGCAGCTGGCCAGACCTCTGACCCTTTTTCCCCTGGTTGAATGCAAATATTTGTGGGTGTTTAAAAAAAGAAAAAGACAAAACTAAACTAGACCTCTGTTTTACAAAACAGGCGATTGAGGACAACAGTGGTTAAGTAACCAACTGAAGACCTGAGGGGGAAAATGGACTTACCTGTCTCACACACTTGGCCTGGCTAGAACATTGGATGTAGGACAGCCTTAGAGGGGACTGCCCTACTAAATGAGGCTTCAGGAACAGGGCAGAGGCAGCAGATAGAATGGGATCCATTTCCCAGGAAATGACTTCCCATGCTGGCTGGGCACGGTGGCTCACGCCTGTAATCCTAGCACTCTGGGAGGCTGAGGCGGGCAGATTGCTCGAGATCAGGAGTTCGAAACTAGCCTGAGCAAGAGTGAGACCCGACTCTACTATAAATAGAAATTAACTGGCCAACTAATATATAGAAAAAATTAGCTGGGCATGGTGGCACATGCCTGTAGTCCCAGCAACTCGGGAGGCTGAGGCAGGAGGATCGCTTCAGCCCAGGAGTTTGAGGATACTGTGAACTAAGCTGATGCCATGGCACTCACTCTAGCCTGGGCAACAAAGCGAGACTCTGTCTCAAAACAAAAACAAAAACAAAAAACTTCCCATGCTTTTAGCACAAAGAAGCTTCTGGGCCACTGTTAACAGAGGTGAGTTTATAATTTACAAAATGGTTAAAATCTTTGGGAGGCAGGAGGGAGCTAAACAGAAGGTCCCGGGTTAACTGAAGGCAAATTAACTCAACCTCTCTAGTAAGGGACCCATGGGCCTACAGAGTGTCCCCTCTACAATGTGCAGAGTGGAAACCCTTACCTGACCCTTTTCCAAACTGGTCCTGTGTCCAAAGCTCCCCCTATGAGAGGGACACGAACATCAGGCTTTTGATTTAGAAGCCCAATCAGAGAGACACACTGTGTCCCTGAAGAGGCACCTTAAAGAACTGAACCTGGCAGGTGGGCAGATTCCTGGCATGGCTTGAACCGGTTCTGATCAGGCATGGTGACCTGTTGCCTCCCAAAGACCAGTGTCCAATGGGAAGGGCTGGTGGGAAGCCCTAGAACAGAGCCCAGGATGAGTTGGCTTCCTCCCAATCTTGCCCTCCTGCAAAATTGAGTCTGGCCTAATTCCTCTGAGGAGCAAGTGTTAGAATCATCTCTTGCCCCTAACACACTTAAACCAGAAACTGGACAGCAAATAATGACTAGGCTGGCTCTGGTCTGTGTGGATGGACCCTGTTTAGAATTGGCTGAATTGCTTCTTGGGGGAGGAGGAGAGGGCAATGGGAATGGCATTTCTGCGGAAGAACGGCAGGTGGGCAGGCAGGGTTCTGACAGCGGTAGGCCTACGAAATAGGGGCTTCATGCAGAAGCAGCAGGGACACTCCCACCAAGCCATCCTGGGCTTTGGTCACGGTTCACACTCCAAGTACTTGGACAAGCCTGTTAGGAAAGGAAGAGGGTGACACAGGATCTCCTTCCACCTGGAAAGCCATGGAGATCTAAAGGAAGGCAGAAAGAGTCCTTAGAACTCAATCAACTTTGAGCCTCTTATTGCTTTTTAGTCAGAAAAGCTTGGCTGGGCTCAGACAGTGAAAGATTTGGCCAAGGGCTAAACCCTCAGGGTGGGGCTCAGGAGAGTGGCTTTTGCTGCAATGTTAGGAGAGTGGTCTATGCCAGGCCCTGGATCTGAAGCCACAGCTGGCCTTACTCTGAGCTCTCATCTTCCTTCAGGAGATGGTGTTCCTGGCTAGCACCTGAGTCCTCTTCCCTTCACCTGAAGCAGGCACCAGGGAATGATGCTGGGGGCACTGACTATAGGAGCTTTGGGGACTCTTTTCCACTTCTGTGATGCCAAAGAGAAAGACTAGGTCTTACAACCTTGGGACAGAGGGAAGTGGCACCACAATGCTAGAGAAAGATGCTGGCCAGCTATCACTCAGAACACCAAGCTGCTGCTCCACCACCTGCTTTTCCGAAACTGGTTAGTTCCTGAGGCTGGACCTAGTGTGTGGAAATTGAAAGGGATGATGGGGATGCAACCTGAGTAGGTGGTGCAATTCACAAATGCTTTGTGACACCTGCTTCTAAGGAAAACAGAGATGGGGATAGGACTCCCACCCCAGGAGGGAAGGAAGAGAGGAGAGAAGCCCACCCAGCCCCAGGGGAGGCCATGATTAAGGCAGTGATGCTGAGGTGGGGCTCCCTTTTTGGGGCCCCTTGTGCTCCCAATTACAGCAGCGCTTCCCCTCTTGTTTTCCACCCTGGGGAAACTTCCACTTTGTGATGATTTTTTAAAGCATTCACTATTAAGAACCTTTGAAAGCAAGAAATACCCAGAGCACAGGTCTGTGAGGGGCTGGCTCACACCCGTTACCAGAGGCAGGAAGCATGCACGTTTGGTTGGCAAACTAAATGACAAGAACACCTGTTTCCCCTCAGCCCAGAAATGGCAGAAGTTCTGAGGCCCTGGAAAGGAAAAGTGACAGCCAGGAAAGATGAAGGCTGGAATAGACAGCGCTCAGCACAGGACAGGCCCCCGGGGAAGACAGAACAGGAAAGAGCCCTGCCCAAGAAAAAGGAGGCGCTGGGGCAGCTTAGCTCTCCCCAGCTGTTGGAACAAAAGTCCTTGCGCCAGCACCAGCGGAGAATCCCTGAAAGGAGACTTATGGAAACAATCCCGAACTCGGCTGTTCTACAAGCCAAGAGGACACACACATTCATCTTTGAGGATTTATCTCTTCTCTGCACCCCTAGCGCCTTCCACATTCATCTCAGGCCCAGGACTGCAGCTTTGTCAGAAAAAAAATAGGCCCAACACTCCATTTTAGAAAGAGAATTTTAAAACAGAGTCAAAAGAACGGAAATCAGGTATCTGTCCTCTTCCAGGGCAGGGAGAAGACCTCCTTCCCCACAGGTTCAGGACTATGGCTAGGTGGTGAGGAAGGCAGGGCCTGCGCCCAAGCCTTGGGGAGACACAGAAAGGGCCCAGGCCAGGCACTTGGCTGGAGGCAAGCGCAGCCCTTGGGCCATAGGACCTGATGGCCACTGGGGCACTGGTCTGGAAACAAGTTCTCATCTTCCCAGAAATGTCATCTTTCTGTCTGCAGCAGCTGGCTGGAGAAAGATTTCAGAAAGGTGTGTGCCTGGGACATCCAAAGGCAGCCTCTGACCCTTCTTTTCTCCTTGGCATAGGCCTTAAAACACTGGGAAAGGCCATGGTTTGGCAATGGAGCCTTCAATAGTCTTCATCCCTGTAGAGCTCAGTAGCTCTCAGGGTGACAGCAGAGGAGATGAACTAACTTGGGAAGAGTCTTGATCTTTCAGCTTCCCCCACCCCGCTGAAACACTGTATAAGCTGGGGCCATAGCTCATGGCAACACACACTCATGCACTCTCACACGCACAGCTTGGGAACCAACTGAGGGAGCAGGTAGCTCTGGTTATCGCTGGTCTGATATTTGCCCATTCAGCATCTAACCTGTCCTAAAGCTCTTTCCAATCATTCCTCACTATTTCCAGGCCCCATCTGGTGAGGTGCTCCAGCTTCCACTCTGTCAGGCTGATCATAAAGGCACAGTATAGCAAAGTCCCCTACTAGGATGGCCGTTGCTTGAAAGCAGGGAAGGCTAAGGGGCCCGCAGCTGTCCAAGGCTGGTGTAGACGTCTTCTGCTCCGCTCAACTCCTCAAAGATTGGGATCAGGTTCAGCAACTCTGTATCCGCCATGTCATCAAACCAGGACTGCACGGGCACCTGGGACAGGGAAAATGTGACGTAAATCTCCTGACTGCCGCTTCTTCCCTCTCTCACCCCAGAGCCTATGAAGGCTGGCTGGGTCTTACGAGGGTGGTGCACTCCCCTGGGTAAGCCCACAGTTCCACAGCCCACTCCCTCTAATCCCTGCCACATGGGCATGCAGGACCACTCACTGCATTCTCTGGGTGGAAGATATAAGAAGCAGGCGAGTTGTCCAGGATGAGGGTTTTCCTCAGGTCCCTCCCGAGGCGGCTGAGGTCCTTGACATAGCAGCCCTGGTGGAACACACAGGACTCACGGAATAGGCGGGCCCGGAACACCCCACACCGGTCCAGCAGATCCGTCACCGGGTCAGCATACTGGTGGGAGAGAAGAGGACTTAGTGTGGATGCAATCCCGGTCCCCTGTGGCATCCTATGAACCAGCAAGGAGCTACTTGACCACCCCAGTGGCTGCCACACCTGCTCCTGGGTGTTATTTCCCCTCCTGCCCCTGGGTACCTTGGCCAGGCTGGCAGTGAAGAGAACACATTCAAAGAGTTCCCCCATTCGTCTCAGGAACTCATCCACATAAGGCCTCTTGAGCACATATACCTGAGGAGAAGCAGAGAGGCTTATTGGAGGCTTCCCTGTGAGGCCGACACCCTGCAGCATCGTCACCTTCACCACTTACACAAAGAGCACCCAGTAGGTCCAACTCCCACGACTAGCCTCTTGGGCCACCTGGCTGGAAGTCTTCTGCCCCGCAGACCAGGACACTAGCATCGGCCCCTCCCCAGGCTCCTGCTGGCTCAGTGGTCCCAACCTTAACTTGGCCCAGGAAGAAGCGAATACACCATGTCCCAGGAGCCATCTTTGTCTCCGGCGGCGGACTATCAGCTGCCTCCAGAAACAAGTAATCAAGAATAGGCCTCACAGATGGAAACAGCCTATCCTGGATTACTTGAATCCAGCCACAGCCTCTGTGGGAGCTTTCTGTCCTTGGCTCCGGCAGGACAGTCTGTCCAGGGCACCATCAGGCAAGGACACAGATACTTCCAAAAACCTCATGTCCTCACACAGCTTCTCTGTACCAGGGAAAAGTGACTAGTTCCCCTCAATGACCACAGACTAGACATCCTGCTGCCTCTTGTCCTAGCACCCCCTATTTTGTGCCAGTCACACTTAAAACCTATGTCCACCTTTCATGGTCTTTCACATTTTGGCCTACATGGCTCTTTGGCTGCATGTCCCCCCAAATGACTGCATTCTATTGCTTCCCTGCCTCCAGCACACACAGGTGCTACTAGAATCATTTCGTCAAAGCTCCTTTCATCCACATCACTCCCTAGCTCAAAGAGCATGTGCGTACCATGACTCTCCCTCCTACAGCTGGCCTGAAGTGGCCACCAACTCACCAGACCCCCTGAAGCTCTACAGCAGGGATCCTCTGTTCCAGGCAGCCACAGCTTGGCTCCTGTTAATCTGCCATTCCATCAACTGTCAGCAAGCTCCTCCCTCTTCTGAGCTATGCAGCAAGCTTGGCATCCTTTTGCCACTCTTCATTCAAATCCCACCTTGGGCAGGTAGCCCACCCTCGTTTTAATCTCATTCCCTTTTTATTATTCACACTCCATGTTAATCAGGAGTTCACAGTGTATATTTGCCTATCTGAAAACATACCTTTGTCTTTCCCCATGGGTTTTACACATCTCTATATCTACAACTAGACCGTAAAGGGCTGCTGGGCCAAGCCTGGTTCTGACCAGGGGCTGGTGCAGGGCCAGGCGGAGCACCTTGGTCAGGGAAGTGGTGATGAAGAAAGCGTCTGATGAATGTGGGACAGTGACAACAACCCAAGGAAGCCTCAATCTAGTTTCCCTACTAGTAACTTTACTATTTGACCAGATCATGCTAACAAGTATCAGGGCTACCAGGGCATCTGCTCCAGTGGTCCCTGGCTCTCAGGCAGCTGGCAGACCATCTGGGCAGGCACTGTGAGTAAATGGTCTTTGAGTACCAACATCATGTGATCCTTAACCCTACACTGAGCAGCTAAGCAGGGTTGGAAGCTGGTCTTGTTTAGATTTGAGCGCTCTTCACTTTGACAGATGCATGCTGAGCACTTACTCAGGCAGAACCTAGGGTAGAGCCCCAAGGGGAAGGAGCTAGGGCTTCACAGGGGACGAGATGCCTGGGCTGGGGAGGAAGAAATTCACTTGCTATTCAGGGGTGGATGGGCAGGAGGAGGAGGGCATTCTAGGCAGAAGAAACAGTTGTACTGGTTCCCTTGCCTGTAACAGGCAGGGACACCAACCACTCAGGAATAGAGAAAATGTAATAAATCATGTAATAGTGCTGGCATATGGGGGGTGGAGGCTAACAAATGATAGCTGTTACTATCATTAAATAATGTAAACTGTTCTTTTAAACAGCTAGGCTGCAAAAAAGAAAAGAAGGATGACAGCTATAGGTGGATGTGGGTTGAAACTTTTTTTTAAGATGAGAAAGCCCTGAGTGTCTATCTAATACCAATAAAAAGGGGGGGGGGCTGAAGTTACAGAAAGGGATCAACTGATGGAACACAAGCCCTGAAAGGGGCTGAGGACCCCAGCACAGGTGAAACAGAAGGCAGACTGTACACCTTCTGGACTGGGTGTGGCTTGGCAGGCAGCTTACCTGGTGAGTGGTCCCCTCAATCTCGACAGGCACTATGAAGTCAGCATTGTTGATTGGCTGGAAGGTAGAAAAGTTAATGGCATCAGCAAGGCGGGAGGGACAAGCAGCCCCCACCATACCCCTGGAAGGGGTAGAGAGAAACAGATCTTGGAGTCTCCTGGACACTCCTCCTGCCACCCCACTAAGGGATTCTCACCCCAGCAGAGTGTGATATCCCTTCTGGCTTTCCCTACTTATCACTCCCTCCACACCCCCAAATTCTACCTAAGCTGAGTGCTTGAGGGTCTTCCCTAGTTAATAAACATCCTGATGAGACAAACAGGGGCAGGCGCCAATACTGATTCAACCAGTCTTTTAGGCCTGCCCTGTATGGAGCCCTGGTGGCTCTCTGTGCTATGTGGCTGGGGGGCAGATGCAGCTTGTTAGCAGTGACTGGGGAGAACAGGGGTTTCTACTCAACATTCTTCAGTGTGGCCACTAGGTATCTGTGACACTAAGGTGGCCAAAATGCCAGAGGCCTGGCCCTCTCCCTTCTGGTCACTCTTCTATCCTCATCTTTAGGCTGTCTCATAGCACGGTTGTCAGGCTCACAAAAGGGCCCAAGACAGGGGTAGGAAGGGCTCTAGATGTTGGATTACCTTAAAGGAGCTATGCACAAGGGTTTCATCCAGGTCAATGACCACACAGATCCTTCCTTGATCTTCCTCTGTCACCTCTGGGAGCAGGCAGGTCCCTGGGATCTAAAACCAGAGTCAGGCTGCTGAGATCTGCCCACCAAGAAAGCCCAACTCTAGGAAGAGCTAGGCTGTTTGTGGAGACGGAATCACCAACCCACGACAGACACCACTTAAAGGCAGAGAACAGAGGAGGTAGGGTTGGTTTCTGGGTTTCAGACTCCTAGTAGGAGTATTAAGTGATCTGGACACTGGAAGTGGTGGCTAGGGCTGGTGTAGGATGGAGAGCAGCTGTAGGAAGAGGGCATGGAGCACCAGCTGTCCCCCACCCCAAACCCAATGCCTTGCACATAGCAGGCCCTCAGCACATGTCTGGAACAAATGGCTTTCCAGGGCAGGCAGGTGATTGGCCAGGAGCTGAGGAGTGAGGGCATCACCCACTCAACAGGGCTAGCCAGGGATCCTATAGGGTCCTGAGCTTCTGACCTTCTGGCACCAGCCATATTCACGTACCTGATAAAACTGGTACTGGAGACATTGGAGCAGATCCGACTGAGGAAGAGAAGAAGGTAGTCAGTGCCCATCCAAACCCACTGCCTCTGCCTCAGGCCTAGAGAACAACTTTCTCCCCAAGACCCAAACACCTGGAAGCTTCTAACATCACAAAAGTGACTTTTCCTAGGAGCAAGGCAGGAAAGGAGAAAAGCCAGTGCTTCTTTCCCACATTAGGCCTGATGAAGACTGTAGAAGATAGTGTCTGTTTGTAGCTATACTGCCTCTCAGTTGGACAAAGTAAGGAACAAGGAACTCAAGCAACTGATTCAGGGACACAAAGTGAGAGGCAAACCCCAAATCTAAATTCCTCATTATGGTGGTTTAACCTCCTGCTTAGTCCTTACACTCAGGCTTGAGACTCCTGGGTGAGAACATGTTTTCTATGCCCTCCATGCAGGGAAGTATGGGGGAGCACTGAGCCCCTAACAAAACATCAAGTAAGCCACACTACAGGCACCCAGAATGTGAGGGGAGGTAGGGTGCTGAGAGATCAGAAAGACCCCACCTCCCCTGCCTTTTGCTAATAATAAAGTTATAGTTGTAAAAAGTGGTAAGTGTTCTTAACAAAAACCTTAAAGAAAAATTGAAATCCTAGCACTTAATGTTGGCATTTCGGTGTATTTCCTCCAAGTCTGTGTTATCAGTCTTTTTTCCATAATATAATACTATATAATTTTATATTCTGCTTTTTGACTTAATGTTGCAACTCAATACTTCTCCATGTTATTGAGAACTCTTTGTAAAAATTAATCACTTAGTATTACTGTCAGACTGTACTTTATTTAACCATTTCTCCCCATTGGAAAATGAAGTGATTTTTCATTGATGGCATGTCTTTTGCCTGGTTTTGAGAGAAAGGAAGGACAGTTAGACTTCAGTGTTTCAGAGAGAGGTACCACTGACATCTGGGACGAAATAATTTTTGTTGGTTGGGACTGGCCCCACCCTTGAAATGCTAGACGTACCTTTTAGTCATTGTGATGATCAAAAGTACCACAGGTATCAACTGAGCCCAGGAGTTCAAGGTTACAAGTGAGCTTTGATTGCACCACTGCACTCCAGCCTGGGTGACAGAGCAAGATCTTGTCTCTTAAAAAAACACTGGGTGTAGGCCAGGCGTGGTGGCTCACGCCTGTAATCCTAGCACTCTGGGAGGCCGAGACGGGCAGATTGCTCGAAGGTCAGGAGTTCGAAACCAGCCTGAGCAAGAGCGAGACCCCGTTTCTACTACAAATAGAAAGAAATTAATTGGCCAACTAATATATATAGAAAAAATTAGCTGGGCATGGTGGCACATGCCTGTAGTCCTAGCTACTCAGGAGGCTGAGGCAGAAAGATTGCTTGAGCCCAGGAGTTTGAGGTTGCTGTGAGCTAGGCTGACACCACGGCACTCACTCTAGCCTGGGCAACAAAGCGAGACTCTGTCTCAAAAAAAAAAAAAAAAAATCACTGGGTGCAGTGGCTCACGCCTGTAATCCCAGCACTTTGGGAGGCTGAGGTGGGAGGATTGCTTGAGCCTAGGAGTTCAAGACCAGCTTGGGCAATGTAGCAAGAAATTTTTATTTTATTTTTCTGCTTCCCATTTGTGGTGTGGGTCATCTGGTTGCCCCTGTGGTTTCTGAGGAACCCTGTGGTCCAGATCCTTCCAGGTTCTGGTAACCATGCAAGGTACTTTGCATATATTGTCTCAAGTGATCCACACAGAAATCTCTTCTGTAGAGATTTCTGTATGAAAAATAAAAATTAGCTAGGCATGGTAGTGTGCACTTGTAGTCATAGCTACTCAGGAAGCTGAGGCAGGAGGATCTCCTGAACCCAGGAGTTTGAAGCTGCATGAGCTATGATCACACCACTTCACTCCAGCCTGGATGATAGGGTAAGCTCCTATCTTAAAAAAAAAACAAATCCAGAAATCCCTCCCCTACCCTCATCTCTAAATGCCTTGCATGGGGGTACAGGTGATAATTACTGGCAGTAGTTATTAAAAGCATGTTAGAGTTTCAATTCCTTGGTTCCCTGGAAGTCACATATCTTGGAAGATAGCTTTGCATAGTAGAAAACAACAACAAACACAGGTTTTAGAGCCAGAGAGATCTGAGTTCAAATCTTGTCACTATCATTTATCAACCACGAACTCTTCAGGGACTACATAAACCCTCTGGGTCTCAGTTTCCATGTATGCAAAATGGGAATCCTATGACCCTCCTTGCAGGGTTGCTGTGTGGATCACTTGAGACAATATATGCAAAGTGCCTTCCTTGGTTCCTGAGACCTGGAAGGATTTGGATCACAGGGTCTCAGAAACCACAGGGACATCCAGGTGGTCCACACCACAAATGGGAAGCAAATGGATTATGAATGGAAGGATTAGAAGGAAGACTTCTCTGAGCTAGAGACCTTCACAACCTCAAGCAAGGCCACTTGCCCACTTGCCCTCGTCTGCAGGGATCTCCCACTAGCAGTCCCTTCCTTGCTAGTGTCGCACCACTCCGACCCAGCTACCTTAGCAATGGTGTTGGCTTCCTCCTTATATGCAGCGAGCTCAGTGGAGGAGCTTGACTGGCCAACATGCTGGGCGCGAAAACAGCAGAAAAGGGCCTTGAAGATGTTACGTCCACGAGGCTTCTTAGGAGAGGACTTGGAGACCAGGCCTAGAGTGGAGAGAACGACAGAGGCATTACCTACAGAGACATTAATCCACAGCTACCCTCATGGCCATATCGCCTCTAGTCTGTAAGCTCCACCAGGGCACACAGTACATGCCTGTTAAACGACCACATATAGTAACAGTAAAATGCACATGTTTATTCTAACATTTTCTCTTTAAAGCATACAGGAATCCCCACTCCCTGGTTTGGGAAATGGGAGACCTGAACTATAGAGGATTTAGGATTTCTTCTTCATTTCAGGGTTGCAGGGCACAGACAGGAAGAGACTCAAAGATGGAGCCAGGTACAAACTCTTAGGTGTTCTGCTGCTCCAGTTACAACACACTGAAGGTGCCCTCAAAATTAATTCACAAAGACAAAAATCCTCCCTAACGCCAGCTCCCAGGAAGACTAATCATTCTGGACAAGGGAATAGCCTAGTCCCCTTCGAGTTAGTAGAGCTGCAGTTCTGTTCAGTGTTAGCTTCCCTTAGATGCTGGGTCAGTGGTAGCATAGCAGCCCAATTTGCCTAAAAACTCCAGACCAGAAACAAGAGACGAGAAACCCCAGAACAGTCAAAGCCCCAAGGAAGAAGCCGTGGTCTTCCTTTACACCTGTCTCTCTCTCCCACACTCCAGCCACTTGCCTTAATGCTCCCTCCCCTCAATGACAGGGAACCTGACTGGCAAAACACAGACGGATTAAGCCCTTTGTACACACATGTCCAGCCTCGGGTCCTAGGCTGATGTCCTCACTTCTGGACTGCAGCTGCTTAGTCCTACCTCGACAACCTGGGTCTTGGAGATACAAAGCCCTTTTAACAAGAGGCTTGGCAAGGCAGCTCCAGAAAGGCCAAACAGACGCAAAGAGCTATGGGCATTATAGGTTTGACTGGAAATACTGAATGTCCTGATATCTTGACTTCAGAATATCTTGCAAATTCCTTTTGCTTTAGATTAACTTTTCTGGCAACTGTTAAGCAAGAATGGGAAAGACATGATGGGTACTATGGCCAGGAGGTGGCGCTGCATAACCATTTACAGAACAGCCTTCAGCCACAGGTCTCCCCTCCTGAGGGCGTGAGATCCCAGAGGGTGAGCAGGAGACCGCCTAAGGAGTAAACCTAAACTTTTCCAGGTTAAAACACAGGGCAGACTACTTTGCAGGAAATAAACGCTGCAGATGCCTCTGTCTTTGTGGGATCAAGAAAAGCAAACAGCATACCACTGAGGACAACTTCCCTAGTGTTATTCCTTGAGATGGGGATGAAGGCAAGAGGAAGACAATGTGGGGGCCACCCTGGAGCAACCTGGAACTCCCTGGGCTCAGTCTAGACCTTAGAGTAAGCATGCACCCAGGTGGCCCTTGCAAAAGTGGGTGATGGGAGACCCATTTAACACCTAGTTACTGGGCTGCCTGTGCCCCTAGAGAGGAGAGAAAAACCAAACTATTCCCTCAGGACCAAGGGTGAGGAAATGGCTCCTACACAGACAGCAGTCAGTCAAGTGCAGTCAGCACCACCCCAGGACCACAAACTCAGCTCTGACTCAACAGAAAGGCAGAAGACTTCCTGCAGGTGCATGCAGGCTGGGGCCTCCTCAGGCAGTGAGTCCAGAACCCTGTCCCTCTACTCCCTGGGTAAGGCCAGATCCTTAACACTGGTATAGCCATTGGAAACCTTTTAGAAAATGCCTGGGCCTCTCCAGCAAGTAGCCTAAAAACCTGGATGTCACTTTCAAGCTTTTGGCCCTGGAGAAAGAACCAAGATTCCCAGGGACTGGGAATTTTTTCGGGGGTTATCCCCCGAATCCCTTGTATCAGGGAGACAAAATTCCAAGCAGAGCCCAGCACTTAAAGACAGCAGGATGAGAGATTCCTTGGACTTTCCCCCCCTTCTTTTATGCAGAAATTGGAGGGAAAGGACAGATCTACCACCTGCCTGTATGGCCCACATTAAATTCCAAGCCCAGGGACTTAAAGCAAATGCTGACATAAAGCTTCACGACCAAAGCTGAACCTTCGCTCTTCCTTTGGTTTATGGTTTCTTCATGCAGAACCACAATCAGAGGCTTAACCGGGGCACGGAGCCTTTTTTAAAAGGCCACACAGCCTGGGCCTTTCCTGAAGAGAGGCCGTCAGGAATGCACACAGCATCTTAGTGACAGACGCTGTGAAGGCTGAGTAATCCTGAGAGGCAGGAGGTGAAAGGGGCAGCTGGCTGGGGCCATAGAGAGGCCTGGCGTTCGCCTGCTGTGGGAGCCCAAGAGGCAGAAGCGCCTCAGCCCTAGACAGGGAGCTTGGACTCTGCAGGGGATGAGGGTCTTCTCAAAAACACAATGTGGCTGGCAGCCCCTAGGCCTCTGAGACCACAAATGCCTTGACCTTGGGGCCAGGCATTGGACACAGAGTACCTCAGACCCCTAACAGCAAGGTCAATACCCCAGACATCCCTCTCTCCCCCTTTCCCCGTGGGGCCCCACTTCCTTCAATCCTTTTCTGGACTGTCTGCTCTCCTTACCTTTACACACATTGCTCCTGAGAATTCATCGGGGCCTGCTTCAGCCTCCCCCAGCATGGCTGCCTCCCTCCACCCCCCCCCCAAGGCCTGCAATGGCTGGTCCGTTCATTAGCCTCCCGTTCATTAGCCTCCCACCCTCTGTACAGCGGGTGCTTGATAACTGGCTGGCTGAATGATGATTCCAGGGGCCTCCAGGGCCTCTGTCACTTCCACAGAGCTAGGACCTGGCGAAGAAGCCTCCACTAGTTTGCAACAGCCCAGAAGAGTTGGAAACAGAAAAGCCTCCTTTATGTGAGGAGAAGACATGGGCATTGAAGGAGCTGGGCACCTGAGGCAACCACTTAGTCTTTCTAGGCCTCAGCCGTGTTTACCGAGCACCAGTGATGTGCCAGGCCAGTGTGAGACACTTGACATCTTCGCCTCATTTGAGCCTCCCTACAAACCCAGTTGTAGGCACTAGTTCCCCATTTTACAGGAGGAAAACTAAAGCACAAACAGGTTAAATAACCTGCTAAGGGTCATGGGGGTAGTGTAACAGCAGAGCCAGAATTTGAACCCAGATCTGCCTGAACCCAGAACCAAGGCTCTTAACCATTACTCTGTACAGGGCCTCTTTACTCATGCAACAACTGGGAAATTTGGGGGCACTCTCAAGGTCTCTTCTTGGGAACTTTGCTCTAATCCTCTCTAGGATGGGCTGGTAAAGACCAGTTTGTGGTCCAGCTCCCTACGTGTCCTCTTGGGCAGGCCACCAAAGGTGCAGGGGGTAAAAAAAAATGCAAGCCTCTAGGATTCCACTCCAGGGAATCCACCCCCATCTCTGGGACAGCAACTGGACAATGGCGGAGGGGAGGGGAGAGGGACTAGAGCCAAGAGCTTCCTTTCAAGACCTGCTTTGTTTAGTGGATTTAGAGGTGAGGGAACCACTCAACAGAGTGGGATCTGAAACCTGTGTCAAAGAGCCTTTTAAAATGGCTCCTTTCAGCCAGCACTCAGCATTGTGTCCCTGACAGCCAGGTGCAGGCCATCTGCACCCCTGTGTATGATGGCAATGGGGAGGGCATCAGGCTGCCTTCCCAGGAGAGGAACACCAGCCACAAGGGGATTTACAGGCCCATAGGGATTTTACTGCAGTTTCCCCAGTGAGGGAGGGCAGGATTCCAGTGGGTGCCATGTAGCTCCACAACCAGCTGCTCTCCCTCCTTCTTCCCCTGCTCCCCTCTTCCCAGACATCCAGCCCTCTCTCCTGCCCAAGTGCTGATGTGCATCTGCTCTCCCTGCTCCAAACATGTGGTTTGGGACTAGATGTTCGAGAGGACCAGCACAGACCCGATGAGGGAGCCAGCTCTGGCTTAAGAAGAAAGTGGGTAGGTGACTGAAGACAGGGAAGCCAAGCCAGCCCTGCAGTGCATTGCTGCAAGCTTCTTATGAGGCAGGGTGTGAAGAGAAGGCGTCCTCCTACTCTGGGGATCACCTGGGCCGGGGCCCAGGCTCTGCCAGTTACTGACTCAGCCACATCGCCTCTTGGAACCTTAGTTTCCTCATCCATAAATTGGGATAACAGCAAACCCTCAATCAGGACTGAAAGGATAAACAAACTTAGGGTAAGGTACTGTGCAAACTCTAAAGCTAAATGCTGTGCTTGCTTTAATTAATTATCCAAGGGGAATTGACCACTAATTGGTAACATCATGGGCCTCATTCCAGGAGGCCAGTCACAGGAGATCAAGAGCCATCTCCCTCATCATGTGGATGAAGCCCAAAACAGAAGATGGGGAAAAAGTTCCCAAGGAACTCTCAGCAGCAGCAGGTTTCAAAAAGTCAAAACAGGCCGGGCGCGCTGGCTCACACCTGTAATCTTAGCACTCTGGGAGGCTGCGGCAGGAGGATTGCTTGAGCTCAGGAGTTCAAGACCACCCTGAGCAAGAATGAAACTCCTTCTCTACAAAAATTAGAAAAATTAGCTGGGCGTGGTGACACCACTGCACTGCAGCCAGGGTGACAAAGTGAGACCCTGTCTCAAAAAAAAAAAAAAAAAAAAAAAGTCAAAACCACCCCTACACCTTCTCCCAAATCCACCACCAAAGTTGTTTCCCAGTTCACAATCTCCCTGACTGGCACTCTGTGACTAACAGGAAGGCAGGAAGGCTGTTGCACTTGAGATGAACATTACCCTTTGTACCTAGACCCACTCCCACCTCCCCCAGGAAGTAGGAGGTGAGGGCACTAGTTGTCTCTGCCTCTTAAGAAGCACGTGCATGTACATGCCCATGCAGATGAAGACCACTTCAGTCACCAGGACAACACTTTTTAACCTTCTGAAGGTCAGGTCCACATATCACCTGTGCCAACAACACAGCTCCACGTCCCAGCAAAGTAATGCCTCACACATCTGCCTGAGATTGGGCAGAAGGCAACCTCTCAAACTATTGGACTTTATTTATTTTTTTATTTATTTGAGACAAGAGTCTTGCTCTGTTGCCCT